CCATGACAGGTATGAAAGTGAGGCTGTGAGGGATAGACTTGCCGTGTTTCCAATGGCATCCGCTGTAAAAAGCTGAATAAAGCGGCTAGATTACTTACAATTTTCCACAGCTTACATTGTCGGGAGTTTTTTGTCAACCGACATTTCTTTGAAAGATATTTTTCCAGTGTTTCATGAGCAGAACAATCCGAAAACACATTAAATAACAGTACAGCCCATTGAAGAGATGCAAGTCTATCCCTCACAGCCTCGCTTTCATTCTCATTAAAAATCAAAGATGGCGCTGCCGTGAATAAGGCGAATTACTTAAGTGAACGTGAACAGTTGAGAAAGTGAATGCACGTGTTCCGTATCTGTGCGTTGTCTTAGTGACGGCAGCCTAATATTATTGCTGCTGTTTTTAATTTTAACCAAACTACTGACTCACTGAATAAATCACTCAATGCTCTTGACTGCATAACTTTTGTAACTTCAATAAGGATTCATCTATATTTAATTTAGACAATGAAGACTATGCATTGGTGTTTTACATTTGATTACTAATCTAACTACCTGTAAAATCTGAAAAGCACAGCTTTTTTAATTACCATCTTTGTTCTATTGTTTATTTGTGCTTATTAGATAATTTGTTCTTATTTGACTACAGACGGTTTACTTGACTTTAGAAATATAAAATGGAAATTTCAAACACTTAGTTAAATTATGTTGAATTTTGTCATTCTTCTTGCATTCCATGTAAACAGTCTGGCAACATTAATAAGAAAAAATATACTAGCCAATGACTACTCAAGCCTTCAGTGCTTCTGTAGCGGGTTGCCGTTTTAAAAAGTTAGTGGTGTTATTCTCAACATTCTGATATGCTCTAATTGTTATACGTATGATGTATTGGTGTACAATGACACCATATGCTTATTTGTATTTTTGTTAAATGTAGAGGTTAGAGCTGTGAAAAGAGGAGAGTAAAAATAGACTGGGAAGTGTAGCTTGCCCGATTGAGACAAATTACCTTTTCTGATGAAACGGGTTTGAATACAGACCCCCCTGACCTATGAATTGTGTGGAAATATCATTTATTATAACAAATTATCTGTGTTTTTTCATTAGTGTAATTGGGATGCCTATTAAACGGTATCCGGGTGACCTTACTTAAATTTAAATAGGAGTTTTGGCATTAATTAAAGCTAAAGAACACATTGTTATTAATTTGGACCACAGAGAAATGCTTATGAGTGACTGTGAAAGGGAAGTGGGAGAATATTTGTATTCAAAATAATTGTCTCTTCCGTTTTGAAATTGATTCTTTTCAATTAGAACGAATCACTTACTTGCATACTTGGACATTATCCATGGGGGAAAAAAAAGAAAAGACTTTAAAACTCAGGGTAGTTTGCTCCGAAGTAGACTTCGGTCAGTTGAGTGTTTGACTTAATTTAATGATTTCTGTCATTAACATTTTTCCTCCCAAAATATATCATTACTGTAATGCCAAAGAAAAAAAATCAGTATCAGTACTGTAATGCAAAGGGGAAAATAGTATTCTGGAATATTAGTGTTGTAATTCCTTGAAATAAATCATTTTATTAAACTCTTTTTTTTTTCATTGCACTGACATTCTAATCTAATGAATATCACCATTGAGAATTATGGGAATTGCAAATAACCTTAAAATGAAACCTTCCAATGAAATTAGAGTAGAACTGCCATGAACATTTCACAAAAGCTATAAATCTTACAAATGATCGTAAAATCATTCTGTATTGTATTAATGCAAATATTTTTGTGGCCCTCTTTATTGCAACTAAAAAACTGAAAATAATATTTTGTATCAGTCAGGTGATATTACAGCTCATAATTATTAATGGAGTATTGTCACCAGTGTTGTGCACATTCATATTATGAGTGTGCCTGATGAGTGTTACTGCGAACGCGTTCATTCTGGTGTCTGTGAACGCATGCTCTCTCAGTTTAACTTCATACAATAGGGTGCCATATTTCTATAGCCTTCTAGGCGAAAACCTGGCTAAAACGCACGTAAACGGGCCTTAATATGTAGCGAACAAACACCCAATCTGGCAACACCAGCCAGCAGTGTCACTCCGCGGCCGCTGTCGACAAAGCAGCGAACAAGGAGGTTTCGTATGATCATTTGAACAGTTTTTATGACAAGGTCTGTGAGGATGGGGAAAATCTTGCATTTCTGTGGAAACTGGCCGTCGATAGCATAATTGTTGTCTGTGGTTGTATATGGGCTGTGGCAATAATAATAATTTAAAAAAAGTTTGCCACATATGGAAAAAAAAGAACTATGAATGAACTAGTTCATTTCTTGAAGTATGATCTATGAACTGAACTATTCATTTTAAAATGAGTGAACTGAACTTTGAATTAGTTCATTCATGTAGAAAGTGAACTTTCCAACACTGATTGTCACTCTGTTCGTGTTCCTGTACTTTTCTGTTTTTCTGGCACCTCTTTATTCAGGTCACTGGAAACCCATGATGACTCCAAACAACTCCTTCCCATTAAATCAGATACTGAGGCTAGAGATGAGACGGAACCCATTGAGATCAGTGATGTGCAAGCTATAGCAAACGAGGACAACGCAACGGAGGATGGGTCCGAGGTTCTTGGAGCTGACAAAAGTGACCCAGATGAGGTGAAGGATGACAAAAAAGGGGCCACGCTTGATGTGTCAGAGGAGGAATCACCCAAGAGCCTTTCCCCTCACTCACCCTCTAAGGCTCCTGTCAGCCCTGTTTCTGCCCTCCCAGGCGAAGGTGGCATAACTCCAACTGATTTTCTCTGTAAAACGGATGGAATTGATTCTGTTAACACAGACTCGCAACTGGAACCTCTCACTCCTTCCAAGGTCCTTGAGGACGATGCCACTGAGAACTCGCAAGTGGAAATTGATGGTTAACTGCAACAAACAAAACTGAGAACCCCTGAAACATCGCAAGACTCTAGACGCAGCAAAGTTTCTCGCTGCAAAGTTTCTCTCTCCGTTTCCCCTCTTTTTATATAAAGTATGCATTAATAGGAACTTTGTTTCCTGGACCCAAAATGAGGTGAAATCAATACTGTGCTAAGACAGGACTTTAAAATCTTGTACTCTACGAAATACAATATTTCTGTACTAGTGTGAGGATTGGAAAGAAGCGCCCTCTAGATTGAAACTGAGTTTTGAAGGCAGCAATGTGAATGTTCTTCTCTACAAATGATTATGATTTGAAGTCCTTCTGTCCGCAGTTGTGGTGTCCATTTGGACTCTACAGATGATCACGCAAAACAGAGGCATAAAACGAATGAACTTGGAGCTGAGTCCCACATCTGCCTTTCCAGAGGACAAAGAACAATTCAGCAATTTCCCAGTATACTGTATTTAGGAATGGTGTCCTGATTTTTTTTTTTTAGGTTGTGTTTAATGTATTGTTATGTACTTGATCTGGATAGGACTCTGCATTGGGAACCATTTCTCCTTTTGATTGAGACTGAAAACATTGTAGAAATTCATTTGTCTTAATCGGTATTAAACTTTTATAACATGTTAAGCTATGATTCACAGTAATATCTCAGCCTTTCTACTAGAGACAATTTCTTGTTTTCTCGTAAGGGTTTGATTTGGTGAAGAGCACCCTCTTGTGGATTCATGCTATGTAATTCAATAAACAATAGTGATGAAGACTCATTTTTGTGAATAGGTTCTTTTGATGTTCTTTCTAAAGAACTGGGTAAAAAAGATTCAGTGATTCTTTTATCTCGTGTGTCCTCGATCCTCGCTATTATTGTATGTTACTTTTCGGAGATCTTTTTATTTAAAACCAAGAAGTAGAGAATCTGAGCTGGATGTTCAGTATGTAAAACATACAAAAATGTGCAGTGCTGGGGATTCTCTCCAGAAACAGTTTGAAAACCCCTATTCCCAAGGTGCATTTTCTTTCCAGAGTATGTTTTAGTAATAAGAGTGTTGATTATTATTCCATGATTCAGATAAAAAAAAAAAGGTAATTAAAATATTTATTGCAGTAATTGAACTGCAAGTCGCCATTAAAGTTTTGATGCTTTTATTATGAAAGCTATTATTATTTTTATTTTATCCTTTAAGCTTTTCAGTGTGCTCCAAAACAATAAATCAATTCATTTCAATTGAAGGGATTTTAAATACTGAAGACAAATTATTAAATATAAACCCCTTTGTTTGCAATCATATTAACAGAAAACCTATTCCAGCTCATCTTTCAAATGGATGGTGTAATACAAAGTTAATTGGAGTCTGAAACAAATATCTGTTAACAAACATGGTAAAATAAGTCACATATTAAATATTACATAAATGCTGCTACCCTAATAATACTGTAGTACTCAATTTAAAAATTAAAGATAAATTCACTTTCTGTGATGTAAAAGAGACAACAATAGCCTACATTATTTGTGTGAATGTGTTTGGTAACGCTTTAAAAAAAATAATTTATGTGCCTATCAAAAAAAAAAAAAAAAAATTCAGAACATTTAGAAACACCTTTAATTTTATATATTATAAATACAGTTGTTAATCTGATCATGATACTTTGCAATTTTTTGTTTATTCACAAATACAATTTTTGGGGTAAGATCCCGTTACTGTCAATTCTTCTGGTAGACCATTATTGTTTTGCCTTTGATGGGCATAAAAAATGAAAATCTTTGAAGTCAAATGTTATTGCTTTCAAAGTTTAACCTGGTATACTTTATTATTATCATTATTATTATTTACTTCTCTCGTTCTTACTATTTTTTTGTTTTTGTGATACGTCTTGTTTTTTTTATTGTTCATATTTGTTTCATTTTCATGTTTTGGGCATTAATTTAAAAAAGCGCACCAATAACAACTTTATAAACATAGTTTGTTTGTTTTTTTCTTTTTAATTACAAAAAAAACTCGTTAGTGACGCAAATGTAGTAATTAAAATAGCTTTCATAAACGCACAATATGCCTTTATTATGTAAAATTGTAGCGGAAGTGACGTTAACTTCAACATGGCGACGCACACATACGCCTGTGTGTACATGTAGCGCTTTACAGTAACCTTGTCATCTACTGGTTTGCGAAAACGTATTAGTATTATAAACATAATTAGGACACGTTACTGTGAGAAATGTCAAGACTGTCTCGACTGAAGTTGGCATTAAATTTTAGAATGACTCATGACTAATGCGTGCTTTTCCTTAGAGATGTGATGGTTTCTTATTTTGCTGCAATCTTTTAGCGTTAAATATATGTTTTGTCATTTATGAAAACTTATATCAGAGTATGTGGGGCCTAAGCTATTTAAAAGTCATTGATCGTGGACGTTTGCTGTCGCAAGGACTTTGTAGGAACTGCATCACACGTCTTAGAAACGAATCTTTTGTAACTCAAATACAATCTGCTTCAAAACCACCCTGGAGAGTATTGTTTTTTGGAAGTGATGATTTTGCTCTGGAATCATTAAAACGGCTTCATGTATCTCGGTAATGATGTCCAGTTTTTCTTTTATAACATTGCTATTTTGCTAATAACCCCATTGCATTGTTTAAGTTATTAGTTTGCTTTTCTTTTTTTAGAGATGACTCAAAAGCTGAAATCATAGATTCACTTGAGGTGGTGACGCTGTCCAGAGATACTCCAGTCAGAAAATACGCAGAGCAGAACAGACTTCCACTCCACCAATGGCCAGATGTGGACTTCAGTGCCCAGTTTGATGTTGGTGTTGTGGTGTCATTTGGCTGTTTAATCAAGGAGAATGTCATCAACAAAATGGCACAGTAAGTAATGAGGATTCAGGGAAAGCGCATGACATAGTCAAATGGATTGTCTGTAGTATTTGTGTGCTGTTTTGACAGTACGATCTAGGCTGAAGGTAATATCATAATAAACAATATTTTGTGTTTGTTTGTTGTTGTTTTTTCCTCAGTGGTATCCTAAATGTGCACCCTAGTCTGTTGCCACGCTGGCGGGGACCTGCTCCAGTCTTTCATACAATTTTACATGGTGACAGTGTCACGGGAGTGACTATCATGCAAATAAGACCTAAGAGGTAAATGCCATATGTGCAGTAATTGTTCATGACAGGACAAATATGAAAGTTACATAAAAGATGCTTAATATTTCTGTATACAGTGGAGAGAACAAGTATTTGATACACTGCAGGTTTTCCCACTTACAAAGTATGTAGAAGTCTTTCATTTTTATCATAGGTACTCTTCAACTATGAGTGACGAAATCTAAAACAAAATTCTAGAAAATCACATTGTATGATTTTTAAGTAAATAATTTGCATTTTATTGCATGATATAAGTATTTGATCACCTACCAACCAGTAAGAATGCCAGCTCTGACAGACCTGTTAGTTTCTCTTTAAGAAGCCCTCCTGTTCTCCACTCATTACCTGTATTAACTGCACCTGTTTGAACCAGTTACCTGTATAAAAGACACACTCAATCAAACAGACTCCAACCTCTGCACAATGGACAAGACCAGAGAGCTGTGTAAGGACATCAGGGATAAAATTGTAGACCTGCGCAAGGCTGGGATGCACTACAGGACAATAGGCAAGGAGCTTGGAGAGAAGGCAACAAGAGTTGGCGCAATCATTAGAAAATGGAAGAGATGATGGTCAATCTCCCTCCATCTGGGGGGGCTACATTCAAGATCTCACCTCGTGGTACATCAGTGAGGGATCAGCCCAGAACTACAGAGCAAGACCTGGTCAATGTTTGTCAATGACCATCTGGATGATCCAGAGGAGGAATGGGAGAAGGTCATGTGGTCTGATGAGACAAAAATATCACTTTTTGGTCTAAACTCCACTCACTGTGTTTGGAAGAAGAAAAAGGATGAGTACAACCCCAAGATTATCATCCCAACCGTGACGCATGGAGGTGGAAACATCATTATTTGGGGATGCTTTTCTGCACTGTATTGAGGGGAGATGGATGGGGCCATGTATCGCAAGATCTTGGCCAACAACCTCCACCCCTCAGTAAGAGCATTGAAGAAGGGTCGTGGCTGGGTCTTCCAACATGACAACGACCCGAAACACACAGCCAGGGCAACTATGTAGTGGCTCCGTAAGAACCATCTCTAGGTCCTGTAGTGGCCTAGCTAGTCTTCAGACCTGAACCCAGTAGAGAATCTTTGGAGGGAGCTGAAAGTCCGTATTGTCCAGCGACAGCCCCGAAACCTGAAAGATCTGGAGAAGGTCTGTATTGGGGAGTGGGCCAAAATCCCTGTTGCAGTGTGTGCAGACCTGGTCAAGAACTACAAGAAACGTATGATCTCTGTAATTGCCAAATATTAAGCTCTGCTTATCTGATGTATCAAATACTTATGTCTTGCAATATAATGCAAATGAATTACTTAAAAATCTTACAATGTGATTTTTTGGATTTTTGTTTTGGATTCTGTCACTCACAGTTGAAGAGTACTTATGATAAAAATTTAAGACTTCTACATGAGTGGGAAAACCTGCAAAATCGGCAGAGTATCAAATACTTGTTCTCCCCACTGTATTTCTTTTCCAAGTATCAAGTGTTTTATTTTAGGGCTTTTATTTTATGTTAGATTTGATGTGGGCCCTATTCTTCAGCAAGAGCTGTATGAGATTCCAAAGAACTGCTCTGCGGATGAGCTTGGAGCTACTTTGGCAGTTGTGGGCTCCAGAATGGTAATTTCCACCACTTAACGTATTTTAGTTTCCGTTATTAAAAATGTCTTATGTTTGTAGTATAAACTATAGTATAGATTAGAAGTATTTGTGTTCATTAAGATTAAAAATATCTTTATTCAGGAAAGAAACAATAAATTGATAAAAAGTGACTGAAAAAATACATTTATAATACTACAAAATTCTTTTTTTTAACTTTCTAGTCATCAAACAATCCTGAAAAGAGCAAATCAGCATATTAAAATGATTTTTGTAGGATCATGTCATGTGACTCTGAAGACTGGAGTAAAAGCTATTAAAAATGTTGCTCTGCCATGATGCCGTCACAAAATTACATTTTACAATATATTGAAATTGCAAACATATTTTAAATTGTAATAATATTTCTCAATAATGTCTGTTGATTATTGTTTTTATGATTAAAGGTTCTCTGAGCGATCCTGGGTGTTGTTGACGTTCGGAATATTTTCAAACAAATCGGAGGCTAGCTAGACCCTCCCTCCTCCGCATCTCATCTCATCTCCTCCCCCTCCCTTCCGTGCTTCCTGAAATAATTGTGAACGTGCATAGTTCTAGCTAATTATATCCTTGTGTGGGTTTGGCGACCATAAAGCGTCAATTTAGAAGAAAAAAAAACAATTTAACATTACCCACCTGTCCAGCAAAAACAGAGCAACCTGAATGTCGTACTGGAAGCCCTTCTGCCGCCGGAGTTCTCGTCATCGTTCAAAAGCTTTGCTACCGATGTAAATTCGGAACTTCGCACGTTCTTTATCCGACTCCTTCTTCTTTTTAATTTGTTCTTCAGAACGACGTCTCTTTGGTCGTGTGTCGGTAATTTTTCAAACTTCCCTCTGATGCTTCTCTCTCCTTCACACACACACCCTTCATGTGCACGTGCACTAACCCCCCAGACCCACCCTCAAATACTTCTTGCCAGTGATTGGCTGGAACACTGTTTGTTAGTTTTCGTGGTCCGGGTGAGACATGATTGTTTTTGTTGCCGTTTTTGGAGCCTGTGGTGTCTAAAGAGACCGCGTTTTTTTACAGTGTGTTTAGGGGACAGGCAGCTAGCCGATAGTGAGGAGACGTTTGAATTTATGTGACAAAAAAATGTTTTGGCCCCACATCGCTCAGAGAACCTTTAATTATATATTCAGCTTTGGTGAACATTGGTGAACACAAGTGAATTATTTCAGCTCTATAGCTGTAGGAATGATTCACTTATTTACAATTTGTCATGAAATTGGGTTATTCACTCTGCTTTTACAACAATAACACTGTTTGGCATTGATTCACCGTAATTGATTTTGAAACTTCGGTCTCATATTTAAATCAATAGTTGATGGACACTCTAAAACATCTTCCAGAAAGGATAGCAAACAGAAAGGAGCAACCTAAGGAGGGGGTATCGTTTGGTAAGTGTTTATGAGGCAAAGATCATCGTGTGAGAGTAATGTTCTAACAAATGAAATACATGAAACAACTATCTATATTACTGTCCTTAGCCCCCAAAATCAGTTCCCGAATGGCCTGGATAATATGGGAAGAGCACAGCTGTGAATACATTGATCGGCTGTTTCGAGCTATTGGATCTCGGGTACGGATTAAAGCGATCCTAAGAAACGTTTACATTTACATCAGTTGTCTTAATAAACGTTATACACAGTGTTTGTTTTTCATCAGATTCCTTTGAAAACAATGTGGATGGGCAATCCCATCAAACTTCTGGACTTTGTTGGCAAATGCAACGTGATGTTTACAGGTAACCAGACTTGCTTATTTGATGATTTTGTGGTGTTGACGGTGACTGTGCGTTTTCACACCTGGCTCATTTAGAAGTTTTGTTTTTCGAAAATATGCTTTTCTTCCTTATTTCGGTTTGTTTAGGTATATACTGTAAGAACGCAACAGTTGCATTCAGATACGCACTAAAATAATTGGTCCAAGATTGTCTGAATGAGTTGGTCTTGGCCAGATTGAAAACTCCGGAGCGGTTGTCTTGTTATGAGAAAGCAATCTGACCCATCAGAACAACAAATCAAGTTGTATAATAATTACGTTTTGCAAATGAGAACCAATAACCTCTTCTTGTTAAAGGGATAGTTCACTTTGAAATTAATTTTTGATATGTTTTAGCTTACCAAGTCACATGTGCGTAAAACCTCTTATTGGTGCAAGTGCACCAGTTCATGTCCTGGAATTATGCTCAAAGTGTTCATCCATTGAGATACATATAAAGGGTTAGGGCAAATTAATAAATTACATTACAATTCTTAACATTGCAGTACAGCTGAGTTGGAGAAGAACAATGACAATTTAAAGGGATAGTTCACTTTGAAATTAATTTTTGATATGTTTTAGCTTACCTCAAGGGCATCCAAGATGTAGGTGTCTTTGTTTCCACAGTATTTTTAATTTTGATATTTTTCGGTCAAACCGTTCTTGTCTGTCAGTCATATAATGGAGGTCTATGGGGTCCACGTCAAAGAGCATGCACAGAGAAGTCCAAATTAATCATGATTTAATGACTCGTAAAATATAAGTACACATTGATGGCCTAAGACACACGAAACGAGCGGTTTGTGTGAGAAAACAAACAGTATTTTGTATCGTTTTTTACCTCTTGTAATCACAGTCACGTCCAAGTTCTCTGAGGATGCACCGGAAAGCCCAGGAAGTGATCTCTCGCGTGTGTACGTCACTCATTGTTCACACAGAGATTTCAGAAGTGTTGCCCTTCACTGTGAAGATCTAAACATATTTAGATATACTGGAAATTGCAATGGAAGACGATTTCGATATATTAATTTTCGATAGATCACTTTAAGTGACTGTGATTACACGAGGTAAAAACGATATAAATACTGTTCGTTTTCTCACACAAACCGCTCGTTTAATGTCTTAGGCCATCAATGTGCACTTACATTTACGAGTCATTCAATCATGTTTAATTTGGACTTCTCTGTGCATGCTCTTTGAGGTGGACCCCATAGACCTCCATTATATGACTGACAGACAAGAACGGTTTGACCAAAAAATGTCAAAATTGAAAATACTGTGGAAACAAAGACACCTACATCTTCGATGCCCTTGAGGTAAGCTAAAACATATCAAAAATTAATTTCAAAGTGAACTATCCCTTTAAATTGTCATTGTTCTTCTCCAACTCAGCTGTACTGCAATGTTAAGAATTGTAATGTAATTTATTAATTTGCCCTAACCCTTTATATGTATCTCAATGGATGAACACTTTGAGCATAATTCCAGGACATGAACTGGTGCACTTGCACCAATGAGAGGTTTTACGCACATGTGACTTGCAGGAACACATTTTGAGTACGCTGTGTTGACTTCCAAAAGCAAACTAAACCAAGGAGATAATGGGACATTGTAGCAATTTAAGTCCCTGTTTCGGAACAAAGCAAACAATCTACAGGTCTGAAAACGCCATAACTAACTGTTTGTCTACTGGAAAGAGATAAGGGATGTAAGGGATCACACTTTCTTTCACCTTTTCTTTGCAGCTGCTCCATATTTATCTGCAGTACCAGGGTCTGTCCATTATCAGAAAGAATCCAATATCCTACTCGTTCGTTGCAAGGTATGCACATGGAGTTGTTACCACACACACACACACACACACAGGTGTCCACTGGCACAGAAGAAATACATATAAAGTGCCTCTATTATGGTTTTTCAAATGTTCCCTTTCATGCAGTGTTTAATATAGCTGTTTGTGAATGTAAATGTTCTGCAAAGTTGAAAGTACACAATAAATAAAGTTACTGTCTGCTAAAAGAAAGAATCGACTCTGTACTGCCAATACGAGTCGTTTTTCATTAGAATCCTACTGCTTTACGGTTCTACGTCACTAGAAGATTAATTTACATAATGTTGTACGTTGGCCGTCTGCGAACAACTTGACCAGCCCTCAAATGACATTTGGTCGTTTGCTTTAGAAAGATGGGTCAGTACCCAGTTTTTTTTTGGACCAGCTTGCTCCTCAGAACCACAACCTCTAAATATGACTAATTATTGATGCATATATTTCTTTAGTTTTGTGTTTTATATTGTGTATGTTTCCGGCTAACTCGCGTTATTACGGTCTTACTTAAATACTTCTACTAATCAGCTGTTTGCCACTATTACCTAATAATGGGTCTATTAATGCAGATTGTCTGTCGTTCGTACTACTTTGAGTAAAGGATGGAGCAATATTTATTTTATTTTATTTTTTTTATATATAGTTATTTATTTGTATGCACCGTTATGGACACTGTTCCCACACGCACTGCATTAAATTAGAAATATGTACATCGGTTTGTTGATGGACATACTCTTGTTATTGCTGATGTTGAGGGGAATTTCAGCTGCATCATCTCATAATGTAACTTAAACTGAGTAGTGTATCGCTGAGAAACGCCCTGGTCAAGTCGTCCTTGTGTTGGAGTTTTGGGTTGACTAACTAGTTCTTCCAATGTTTCACCATCGGACTTGCGCTCAGATTGATATGGTAAAATCAACGTCATCGTTAATGTGTTTACAGTTCAATTGCTGAGCATTAGGTACTCTCCGGACAGAGCTAACCGTGTAGCTTTTGAGGCACTGTATGTGGTTGACCAATCACAACAGACTGAGCTGTCTGGCCAATCAAAGCAGAGTAGGTTCTCGGAAAGGAGGTATGCAGAGAGAAGGATTCACCCATCGAGTTGTTTGAGAATCAATGAAAAATGGTGATGTGCAATGTACATTATGAGAAAATGAAACTGTTTTTTTTAAGTTTTTTTTTTTACTTTTGATGCATGTAAACCTGCTGTAGGAGATCTCAAAAACAAAATTAGGAACCTTTAAAATAGCATGATGGGGCACCACTTTGATGGTGTGGAGATAAAATGTACATCAAGTTTTTCCTCTAAAGCTTTTCCCATCTTTTTAATGACCACACTGTTCTGCTCTCTCAATCCCCTTCTGTCCAGTTTCCATAGAAAATTAATTTGAAAGCAGTGCACTACTCGTGATGCACTCCCTCTGTGCCACTGGACACATATAGTTAAAATTCAGATGTATAACTGTATATAATCAGGGCTGTGGTTAAGTGGAGACAACTGGGTTGGGAAGACAACCAGACCTTGTGACAAGGGCGGATAAGTAAACAGCTTTATACTGCTGAGTATATAGGTGGAAGAGCCCATGCTTTTTGTTTCCAAGCTATAATAAATGATTCTATAGGTGTGATGTATCCATTGTTATTGTAGTATACTAGTATTTATATTTAGAATTAGTACACATAGTACAGTAATTATAATTTATATACTGTTATAGTGTTTATTAATGAATGAATAAATTAGTTCATCAGTTTTAGTTTGTTTTAGAAATGTTATGTGTTTTTGGTTTGTTTTAATATCTTCATTTCGTTTTTTTAAAAATTATTATTATTGAACAAAATTTACAGTTAGTAATCGTGATCAAAGCCAAGTTTTTCTAATAACTTTCCCTTTTTCTAATATATATATATATTATATATATTAGAAAAAGTAAAAGAAGTAAAATATAAAAGTAAAATGTAAAAGAAAAAATATTGAATATATATAAAACAAACCAAAAATGAACACAACATTTCTTAAACAAACTAAATCTGATGAACTAATTTATTCATTCATTTAGTTAACTCTATAATAGTATATAAATTATAATTACTGTACTATGCATAGTAATGTATATGATGACCAAAAATAATTTTGCAATGGTTTTAGCTTTAGTTTACAATAAAAACACAGAATGTACCAGATTACCTTACACTGTATTTTACTATGACATTCAGTTCTAAATTGTACATCAATCGTTATATCAAAAGAACAGTGTAACCAGGCATAGGGTTGGCCACATTTACTTGTAAGGTTGACATTTTGTAACAGTAGTACTGTGTATGTTGTCTGTGTGTTTTTCTCCACGTCATTTTTAGGATGGCTGGGTTGGATTCAAAGCTGTGAAGTTCAAGAAAAGGCTGTCGGCATCAGATTTCTTTAATGGATATCTACATCAGAGCATGGTGAAGAAATCTCCCTCGAACACCTGTTTGTTCCAGAGTTATAAAGACACTCGTTTGCCAGGAGGACAGGACAGTAATATACTTCTGCAGAATAACACTTCACTTTGATTTATTGCATTCACGGAATGAATAATCGCATATAAACAACATTTTTGTCTGTTTTAAGACAATTTTGAAATTAGTAATGAGCTGTTTGCAGGTGTGAACGAATCAATACAATAAAATAATTTTTGAGATGTAATTGAATGGTTGTTCTAATTGATTCCTATTCACTGACCAGCTACACACGTTTTTTTTTTATAATAGTTTTTGGTATAAAATACTAGATAGAATATGTTTTGAAGAATTATGGTCACCAGAAAATTGACGGTAATTATTGACTTCCATAGTAGGATAAATAAAAATGTGGAAGTTAATGGCTACCGTCAACTGTCTGGTTACCGACATTCTTCAAAATATCTTGTTTTGTGTTCAACAAATAAAGAAACGCATAAAGGTTTGGAAGAACTTGACGGTGAGTAAATGATGACAGAATAAAAAAGATTTGAGTGTGAACTATTCCTACTCCAAAACTGAGGCGCAGTAAAATCCCGCTGCTGCCACGTAAGTCCCGCCCCTTTATCGCCTCACACGTAAAGCAACGGAGGTCTGTTTGCAAATCCTGCTCTCTCATTGGCTGAAGCGTTTGTTTATTTTGCGTTCGAAGTAAAGTTAGGTTTCATTTGCAAGTTGCAACCTGTCAAATCCGAGGACAGCTGTGAGACCGTCAACACCGCCTAGCATTTCACGTAGTAAGTCATCACTGGAAAATGCCGTTTATGTCCGCATTATTTCATGAAACCGAAGAGCTTTAATATAGGCGAAGATTAGCTTCCATTGTCACTCAGTTGTCACAGTAGCTGAAGAAAAGTATCTTGTTTACGTTGAGCTAACGAATAGCCGTGTTGCTAGCTAGCGAGCCCACACAACCTGCTTATGTCTTCTCTCTCATATTTATAATGGAAACCTGTAAGAAAATTATCTAAAGTGTATTTTCTCCCGTTGTTCTGTTTTGCGATTTCATTACGCTGTAATTGTATGTTATGTTTGTTCGCTCATGTAATTTTAATGGGAAACTCAGTGCAACGTTCATTCGTATACTCAGCTTTATTACCTACAAGATAACGTTACATAGACTGTGCTGTCACCGTTACACACGTGTAATACTATGTTATCAAATATTAGCCAAAGACGCTGACCTTCCCTTATAACCCGATCAACATTTGTGTAACCTTTAGTAATCAATAATTGTATAGACAGCATATAGTATAAGTTCTGTAGAAAAACAGCTTCTGCAGGGCTTATGGCCAAGTTGTATTAGAATTCCTCGAGCAATTGAACAGGTGTAAATAGGGGATTTTGAGCGTCTAATACTCCCTGAACGTCTAATACGTTGTGCAGCTGATGGATAATCGTGTTAGGTATGGAACTAGCTTTACCCAGAATAAAATGTATGGCAATAATGGATTCAAACAATGGACAATCGATGAAATTGTCTTTTTTATTTTTATATTCCCAAGTATCTTGATGCATGCCTTTTTCAAACTATTTTTTGTAGTCTTGAAGTGTGTTGTTATGAGGTTTCCTGTACATTTATCGTACTTCTTATTATCTAACTATTTTACAGGATAATTCAACTGTTCAGAATTGTTCAGGCTTGCTACCACCTTCATCATGTTACCTAGTTGATTCAGTAAAAAATGTATGACTTGAAAGCATTGAAGTTAAATTAGATCGGGGGAAAGAATCAACAATTTAACGATTTTTTTATGTTATTCAGTGTAGATGTGTGTCAATCAGTTGATGTGAAGGGTTGATTTTGCAGTGTGGTTGGTTACAGTGGCACAAATGTATTTTAGATATCTGAGAACAGAGCTCTGTGGTTAGTCTGGACTGAAGAATTTGCTGACATGAGGGCAGGAGCTGTAACATGATAATTAAGGAATATGACACAGGCATAAGTGCTGTTGTTTTGAATAGGCTATTTAAAAAATCCAGTTCATATATGAGTCAAAACCTGCTAATGGGTAATTAAATGTAACTAATCATGTAAGAATATATTTTATTGTAAAATTAAACAATATTTGATCAAACTTTAATTGCCTTAATCTTTGAAACAACTGGAGAGGCGGTATTACAGTTTTTCTCGATTGTTTACACACATTTCCTGCAAGTATGCCTCATACTCTCCGAACTCTACACACAAATCTAAAAAAACACACACAATCGAAAACCCCTTAATGTAAAACGTACTGATTCAAATCCAAGCAATAACGTGACTCATTGGTCATTGCTAATTATGTATTTTTTTACCACTGGCTGTCACCCATCCTTGCCCCTCGCACTCCCAAGAAAGTGATCTGCGGTTGTCTGGGAGTGGGAAAAGATGGCTGCAAAATCTTCAGTAATAAAATTCGGCTACAAAATTCATAAAGAATATATTTGCAAAATATCTGAATGTGCGCAATTTCTTTCTCTGGGGAGCCAGGCGAATGTATGAAAGCTTTTGAATATTTGTCTTCGGCATTTTTGCACACTGTAAAAGATGCTGAGTATAATTTACTGTACATCAAATGGTCAGTCAGTCATTTTTTGTGTTCTGTGTCTATATCTGTGTTTATCCACTGCAGTTAGCTTGAAATTATGAAGAGTGTTTGCCACTTAAGTTTGGCATATGATGAAATTCCTCCTTATAAATCAAATTTTTATACGCATTTAGCTATGTGGTTTTGAAAAAAAAAGTTTATTGTTGGTTTAAAAACAACATAACTTTATGTATTGTTAATAAAAGGCGGAGAAAAGTGAAGACTTGTTTTACATTCTGGACTAAATGATGGAAGTCACCCAGGAGTATTGAATAAAGATGGTTAGTTCAGCTTTGAGTGTTGAATATGTGTTTTTATGGGAATGTGGATCTTTCGGATCGATTTGAGAAGATCTTTTGATCATGTTTCACATTTTATTGTGTCATGTAGTGTGTGGGGCGCTGGTCTTGGTCTTGACCCGGTCTTGGCCCCTAAAAGTCTTGATCTTGTCTCGGTCTCGATACACTCTGGTCTTGGTCTTGTCTTGGTTTCGGGTTAGGTGGTCTTGACTACAACACTATATCCCTGTAATAGAGTGCCGAAGTTACCTTATGACGTCACTTTGTAGGCCAAAATGCGAAAGTGAGTTCCTAGCTCTATCTTCCAATGGGTTTTTGCTAAATCGCCTGAAATAAGGTCTATGGTTAGCTAAGCCTCTAAATATTTTCACGTTTTCATCTATGACATAAACACACCAGTCAACCAGTATAACCTGCTTGTGTTTTTTTTACTTTATATAGGCTTCAAATTGTATAAATTTTGGATTTACTTGTAAAGATTATCTTGATAGACAAAACGTGTAAGGGTCACAACTCTTTGATGAACACCGATTTTATTTTTTGCGATTTTCCAAAAGTCTATGGGGAAAATGCATAGCTTTTCGAGGGAGGGAACCCATGTGCCGCTAACTTCCGAGTTGTCCTACAAAGTGACGTCATCACTTCGGCACTCTATTGAATTGAACAAAGACTAGGCCTACATTCAGTGACCATCATGCAATCGACTTTGAGCTAACCCAAACATCAGCCCCCTCACAGAGATGTTATGTGTGCACCAAATGACTGGCTCACTTATTGATCAAGCCTGCTTGTTTGTTTATTTTTGTAGGAAAGAAGATGCTGTATTTCATAAGCATGGAGACACATGGAGAAAGATCCCTTCTCAAAGATCTCTGAAAAACATCAACATTAGGAAGAATGAATTTTTGTGATCAGTCCATCACTTCACATCCTTCCCTTTAACTATTTGCGTGCACTTTGGCAGGCCTCATTCAGCCTCCCCTCCACCTCCCTAACTCACACACTCTACCGGTGACCCCAACACTGCTCCTGCAGGCTGGGTACGGAGCTGGTCTGGCCGCGTGCCCCTCCAGCTCTGCGTGTTGGCGTGAGATGGCGCGGCAGGAAGCAGAGGGTTGCTTCCGCTGTGGACTGTAATGTCAGAGCCCAGCAGCCCCGGCGAGAGCCAGCGCGGCGCTCCCAGATTCTTCGTGGGCTGCGCGGAGGATGAGAGCGAGGGCCTGGACGACTACGCCAGCATGAGGACAGACATGGAGCTGTACGAAGACGACCTGGAGGATGATTCGGTACGGATGGTTCGCAACTGAGTGTCTGGTCTAATGGAGAGATTTTGCCTGCATGTACCTGGGGATTTAATAGTTTGAGAACAGAAGCATATTTCTATGTAACGTTCAACACAACAGTATGTGACTTCTTTAAAGACTCCTAGCCAAATTAAAGTAGCAGCACATCAAATATCAAATATTTGCTCTCTGTCTGGTTCCCCATTACCAACTGAAATACAATGTACAATTTACAATGAAAGTATCCCTTTTATAAGATTTTAACAAATGAACATGAGGACATTTTTCTGATTTTTGCCCCAAAACTTGGGTCATCATTTTCTTTCTCAGAGAAAAAAAAAGGAATTGAATTTATTTCTTATTTTGTACCATCTCAGTCTGTTTTAGTGGAAGTGGAAGTTTGCTTCCATGTCCACCTCATTTTGTAACACGAAAGTTAGCTATTCTTTTAAAAAAATGTAATGCAAGTAATGGGTTTTTTTATGTTTTTAAAGAAGTCTCTTATACTCACCAAGGCTGCATTTATCAAAAATACAGTAAAAAAAAAAAAAAAAAACTGTTTACTATTTTTATAAATTTTTATTGTAATATAAATTGTCATTTATTTCTTTGATGGTAAAGCTGAATTTTCAGCATCATTACTCCAGTCTTTGGTGTCACATGATCCTTCGAAAATTATTCTAATATGCTGATTGGCTGCTTAATTAAAACGTCTTATTATTTAATGGTGAACTTGGTGGAAACTGGGGTATTTTTTGGAATAGATATTAATTGATCAAGTTAATGTATCCTTGCTAAATGTATTAATTTCTTTAAAAAAATACTTCTTACTGTTTTTACTGTTTAAAAAGAACTTCTTCCTTTTACCGCATTAATTATATTGCTTGGAAGCCTAGCATTTTACATTTTTGTATATTTCAGAGATTTTTTTGTTTTTCAGTATGTTTCAAGTAATTCCTGTAATTATTTAAGAACTTTTGAAAACCACTTTTCTGATGTCAGCAAATACAAGTGTGTTTAGGTAGATGTATATCTCATTTAAATCCTTATTTTTAGCCTCCAGAGCGTCAGATCGTGGTGGGGATTTGCTGTATGATGAAGAAATCTAAGTCCAAACCCATGACTCAGATCTTGGAACGTCTTTGCAAGTTTGAGTACATCACAGTGGTCATCTTTCCAGAGGACGTCATACTCAATGAGCCGGTGGAAAAGTGGCCGCTCTGTGACTGCCTGATCTCATTTCACTCTAAAGGTATGTTTTGTGTCTGTGCCCTTTTGAGCTGGTTGTAGATAAGGTTTCTCCACTGAAGTATTGACCACTCAATGAAGCAACTTTTTTGAAGGGGTCTCCTGTTTGTTCAGTGACCTAACATTATTGCATCATTAGCTAATCTAATGAGACAAAAAATGTGCAGTCACATTAGTGAAGTTTTGCATACAAAAATGTCCGTTGTCAATTGTGTAGTAATTTGCAGTATGAAGCACAGGTCACAAAGTCACTTTCAAACCAAGCATTTTTCTGTTGGTTAATGCAGCAGATTTGGGCATTACCTCATAATATATTCCAGATTGCATTTTTGCTGGAATCCGCCCACAAAAATTTGCAAAACATCAGTAATTGTGACCATCTTAAGGCTTGTTCGTTGGTATATAAATAATCCTGATAAGCAGTCTACACATTTGTTTACCAGTGTGTTGTGTCTTTGACAAGTTATTTTTATATTAGCATGCCTATAATAACAACAGTAATATTTTCTCTTCAATTAGGCTTCCCCCTGGATAAGGCAGTGAGTTACGCAAAGCTCCGTAACCCGCTGCTCATCAATGATCTTAATATGCAGTATTACATACAGGATAGGTATAACCATATTTTTTATTAACCACAGTTTTTCATATCTCATATTTGCATACCTTTCAGCATCCTGTCCTTGCATCCTGCTTTTTCTGTCCTTCGTTAATCATATTTTAGGAGGGAGGTGTATCGTATCCTGCAGGAGGAGGGGATAGATCTGCCACGCTATGCCGTTTTAAACCGCGACCCTGACAAACCTGACGGTCAGTCAAAGCTTTTTTCCCCAAAATATACAAACAGAATTTTTGAGTGTCTAAAGTTTTTTTTTCCTGATATCTTTTGTTATTTGCTTGCATGCTTATTTCTTCATCATCCAACAGTGAAGTAGAAATATTATCAAAGTGTCCTGCTTTGTCTCTGGACTGATTTGTTTTAGTCTCTGAGTAAATATAGCCCCTCATGTAGAGCAATTTTAAGTGTTTCACACAGGCCAAGGATACAAATATTGCTCTGAAGTCCATGATGTGACCATCTGGCGTCCACTGAGCCGTTATGTTCTTGGCAGCTATGACAGTTCCCCGAGGACCTGAAAAAAATTTATTCTGCTCTAAAACAAATGACAATCAAAGTGCTATATTTACCCAGCTATAAATCCCCATTACAGTCCTGTCTCAGATGATGACTGTGTTATCTGTATATCTGCTCAGATATTGTTTCTATTCACTGGAACTCTGTTTTGACTGGCCTTTTCTTTCCTGTTTTGGCACAGAGTGTAACCTGGTTGAGGGAGAAGACCAAGTTGAAGTTAACGGCGAAGTCTTTCTAAAACCATTCGTAGAGAAGCCCGTTTCTGCCGAGGACCATAATGTGTACATCTACTACCCAACTTCAGCTGGGGGAGGCAGCCAACGCCTCTTCAGGAAGGTGTTTTTGCAGTGGCTGCCTATTTTCTATCCCATAGAGCTTGAGCTGCATCCGCTCAGTCATACAAGCACAGCAAACGGAGAAGAGCATGCCGACATTTGTTTTAGCCTACATAATTGCTCAGTTTATCCTACAGTTAGTGTTGGGGACCAACTAGTAACACTACTCAGTTTGTTTTAGCAGCTCATTCATTTAAAACAACTGATTTACCAACCATATTTATAGCGTGATGCATGAAAGTCCTAAAATCTGGAAACGAGTCAGCATTTTTTAACTTCCAGTTCCATTGTCCTGAAGTCAGTGGGTTTTTGGTTAATTTTCTTGAATTAAGGTTTGTGGTTAACACAAGCTTGGATATTTTCACGTTTTATTTTACAGCATAATATATCAGTATGCAGTATCAATTGCATGATGGCAAATCGTAACATTTGGGTGTGAATGTGTTTGTTTCAGATTGGGAGCAGAAGTAGTGTTTACTCTCCAGAGAGCTGTGTGAGGAAAACTGGCTCCTATATATATGAAGAGTTCATGCCAACTGATGGAACAGATGTGAAGGTACTAAATAATTTACCTTCTTTTCTACTCAGTGATTGCATTACCCTGTTGCTCTTGATCTATATAGAGCAAAGTTCTGCTTTCTTACGTGTTTGTTTCATTTGTAAATTTTTAGAGAAGCAGAAACATTCTTTTGTGCGTGTTTTTGGTACAGGTGTACACAGTAGGGCCAGATTATGCTCATGCAGAAGCTCGTAAGTCCCCTGCACTTGACGGGAAAGTTGAGCGAGACAGTGAAGGCAAAGAAATCCGCTACCCAGTCATGCTCACTGCCATGGAGAAGCTTGTGGCCCGTAAAGTGTGTTTGGCATTCAAGGTCAGCTGCTCGTTACTTGGTTTCAAAAATTAATTTATGAATGTACAAGAAAGAATTTGCAGACTGAAAATGTTTCAAGGGTTTAATCTGTTCATGATGATTTTGTTCTCAAATACTTTTTACACTGTAGCAAACAGTGTGTGGATTCGACCTCCTCCGAGCCAACGGCCACTCGTATGTGTGTGATGTCAACGGATTTAGCTTTGTGAAGAATTCCATGAAATACTATGACGACTGTGCTAAGATCCTGGGGTAAAGCCTAATGATCATCAGATAAAGATTCAAAATCTTTGTATTTCAAACATATTAATATATAGTTGAGTTTGGCTTGTTCTTTCTTTTTTTTTTTTTTTAGAAATATTGTAATGAGGGAGCTGGCTCCTCAGTTCCATATCCCATGGTCCATACCTACAGAGGCAGAGGACATTCCTATTGTACCCACCACATCAGGCACCATGTACGTATCACATGCTACACTTACATCTTGCCATTTGACTTGATAGTAAAATTCATCTTTCCACTTTATTCTTTGTTTTCATTTTTATTATTGTCTAATGCAACAACATTCATATATTTTGTCCACTCGTTTAAGTGACCTATTATGATATCGCATCAGAATTTTTTTTTTCTTCGCTAGGATGGAGCTGCGCTGCGTAATAGCTGTGATCCGTCATGGAGATCGTACACCAAAGCAGAAGATGAAGATGGAAGTGCGGAATCCCATGTGTGTTCTTGCCACCTGCTTAATAGACTTAATCACTTAAAACATTGCTGATATCCAAATAGCAAAAATATGGTGTTTTTTCCTTTCTTCTAGGTTTTTTGAACTTTTTGAACAATATGGTGGATATAAAACGGGCAAGCTGAAGCTAAAGAAACCCAAACAGCTCCAGGTAACAATTTTTATTTATTCATTAAATTATTTAACATGTTCCAACATTAAAACAGAAAGCACACCAAAAAAAATTCAATCTCAATAAAAAAAAATAGTCTGCAGTAATACAGTAATAATGAGCGCATTTATCCTAGGCCACTGAAAGAGTAAAAAATAAATAAGATAATAAAGTAAAAATAAATAAATACACAACTGCAGTACAATAGAAATTTAAAACCTTTATGAACTCACTTGGGGCACATGAACGGGAAAACCCTTCCGCAGGACTGTTGACAGTTAAAACTGGACTGGCTGACCATTAACTAGACAAGTTGAATATTCCAGCAGAATTAATTCCCAGGTAAAAAACACATTTTTAATACTATTTGAATAAAGGGTGAATATGTCAATTTTCCTTTGCCCCACTTTTGGCCAGTTCATTGACATTCCAACTGATCTTCAAATCTTGCCACAAAATCAAGCCACTTTTATGTGGATTGCAAGCTTCCCAGAGTTGATCCATTGATGGAACCCATGTTTGCATCATTGCTCCAATTGTAAATGAGGAGACATCTATCAATTGAAAAGGATTCCACAGCATCAATACTAATTTGTGATAATTAAAAAAAATGTAAATATTAAAGTTTCAATGTCTTAATTAAATGATTTTATTATAATTACATTAAACGATTGCTTTCATGCTGCAGTGACCTCACCCTTGCAGGCTCACTATTGGCTTATTCAGTGGTTGAGGGCAATTTTGGGTTGACATCATTGTAGTTCGTAGTTCACAGCACTTAAGAATCAGGGACTTTAATCAAAGTTGCTTTTAGCTTCTTTATAAAAGTGTTCTACTCTTAGAGAATTTCTACTTTTTGCTAAGAATTTTTTTGACACTCAAGTCAAAGCTTAAGACTATTCTTAAGAGCGTTTCTTAGAAGTTCTATACATACTGGCCCAGGTCTACAATCAAACTTTTAAAATTAGGCTTCCTCATATATTGAAGTTTTCAGGGAAAAAAAAAAGATTGTTGAGGGGGTAAATTAAAATAAGAAACACTTTGATTTTGGTAAATTTTTTAACTTATTTCAATACCTGTTGTGTCTTATTTTACATAATTTCAGGCATCTTGAGGCCCCCTTTAAAGTTTGCCGAGCCCTCATAGTGGGCCCCTGGCCCGCTGTTTGAGAACTACTCATTTAAACCTTGAATTTATTGTTAACCTGCTGTGCTACTCCATATCTGTGTTTCCACAGGAAGTTCTGGACATTACCAGGACACTCTTGACAGATATAGGACAGCATACTGACTGTGAAGTTGAGGAGAAGAAGTCCAAGCTTGAACAACTGAAGACTGTTCTAGAAATGTACGTTAATGTAAGATGTTAACTGGGCCATGCTAACTGGCACACTTGCAGTCTTCCTTGGTGGCCTCCTTTTAAGTCTTTTGACACATGACATATTTTCCAGACACAAGCTCTGGTGTTACATAAAACAATACAGTAGTTTCCATCATATACTTAACAGATGCTTTCTTTCAGAAATAAAATAAAATAATGTTTCTAGTGTATCTAAGGAGATATATGTAACATGTCTTAAAGGAGATTCAGTTGAAGGATGTTGTAAATGAACACTATGTTCGGTGATATTTCCAACATGCAATATTTTTAGAATCTCAGTATTAAGTTTTGTCCTATGACACAATGAAATTGCAGTGTCCCCTTTCACAACCCTTGACAAGCTTCACTCATTCAGCAATAGCATAGATGCACTGGATGGATTTCTGAGCAGCTGTTCTGGCAGGTGCTTCTGGCTATGTTAATTTAGATGTCAGTCAAGAACAGGGAAGTGGAAAGTAAACTTCTTTGGGGCCTGTAGACACCCTAATTAAACTATTGTCCCTGTTCTGTTCTATTCTTTTTTCAGGTATGGCCATTTCTCTGGAATCAATAGGAAAGTGCAGCTAACCTACCTTCCTCATGGACAACCCAAAACATCCAGTGAGGAGGAAGGTATGAGGAGTGTTGATCAAGAAACTCAGTCGTGTTTGGCTTTAATCATGCCATGCATTATGGTGCTGCTGTTTGTGTTGTGTGCAGATACCCGTAAGGAGGGTGCCTCTATACTCCTGGTGCTAAAGTGGGGAGGAGAGCTGACTCCAGCAGGCAGAGTTCAGGCTGAAGAACTCGGCAGGGCTTTCCGCTGCATGTATCCTGGAGGTCAAGGTGAAAAAAAAAAACCCTCCTGTTTGTCTGTCACTAAGGGGCCCTATTTTAACAATCTAAGCCAGGGGTCGGCAATCTATGGCAGGCATGCCAACACAGAGGGTTAATCACTGGCACTTGAGCAAAAGTGAGAGAGATGTATAGCCCGGCTAGAATGAAACGTGGTCTGGAAACCACATTTAAATTTTGGGCGCACAAATGGGCATAAATGCATTTGCTATTTGGACAACGTGGCACAGGATGTGAAAATGATAACGGCGTCGGGCTGAAACTTGCAATTGACACTTGTGTCGCACCTGGTGCTGTGTTAGTGTGTTTGATTAGGGTTGGAGCAAAACTGTTGACCGAGGACCAGATGAAAGTCCACAAATCTCATGCTTTCAGCACCTTATTACACCTTTCTAATCCAACATTACACCTAAATCTGATTAACATTCATATTAATGATGGTGACACAATATCCGATGACATTTTAATAATGTTTATTATTTAGTCATCTACAAACATTATATAATGCTTAATAAATCACTACTTGGTGCATTTTCAAATATGAATATTCATCATAGTTAAATTACTGACTTACAGTTGAGTAATGAGTCATGACTAATTAAATGGGGGTTGACTGCTTTTTTTCTTAGCATGATTGTTTATGGGGTGCAATATAACATATATTCGTGGTTTTTCTTTTTTAAAAAGTCTTATTTTTCATAAAATTCACCTTTATTGTCAGCCGCGCTCTCCTCTGTCCCCTGAACGAGCGGTTGACTTCCTGAGTCTATGAAACCACCCCCTTAGAAACAGGCTATGGGCTCAGATTGGTTAGTTTGGGCTGGTGTGTGTGATTGGCTAAACTGTCGCTAACGTTGTCCGGATACTTCGCGCCCATTACCTTTACGGGTGAAATGTGCCTGCGCTCAGATGTAAATATGCGTCGAACTGCAGTATCGGTTTGAGGCAGAATCAGACCAAGAAAGCGGCGATGAAAGAGTCAAGCAGAACCTCACCACACACGGCTCTTACTAAACGTTTCAGAATGATAATTTGCCACATTTTTTAACTTTATACACATTTGTTTTACACAATAGCATCTGACTGGCAACAATAGCAAATGATTGGCTGCTAATGTTAAACACAAACAGCGTTGACATTAGTTTACGGTCTTAATCAAATCGAAAATAACGTCATAAAGCATATATACATGAAAAATATGTTTAAAACATTAGTACTTATAGAAAATTCAGGTCCATAATGTTTGTACACGTTTGTCGTAGACACAAAATAGCATAACTAATAGCCTAGTGGCTATAAAGCCAGCGCTGGCATTTGAAAAAAATAAAACACAAGGGTACGTCTGAAATTATACATGGAAATACATTTAAAATGTTGAAGTCTTAGCCTACTTACAGGTTGTGGCCCAACAACTGCTGCCTCTGGTTTTAAATTCGGAACTGCTTCATGTTTTAGTAACAGTTTCTTGTTAAATCCGGTGTTGAATTCGTGGAGATTCTGGAAGCCGTCTTCCGTCAAATGCGCAGCACAGAGAGACAGATTACGGTCGTCATTTTCAGGAACATAATCAAACAAATTGTATCCATTGTTGACGAAGTACAGCGTTCGTGGGAAGCTCGAACACAGAAGACCTGACAGCTGGTTGAACATAACACACTCCACGAACCGCAGAAATATGGCCATGCCCTTTTTTGCATTTTCCGGAGGGAGGTGTTGATGCAAATGTATGGGTTAGTGACGTCTAAAATCCAGCTGTAGTCCCAATCGAGACGTTTTTGTAGGCAATTATACTTCCCGATTTTTAAAAGACGATATCTCTGCTTACACTTAACTTTCAGCGCTGCAACTTTGCAGATACTGTTCATGCACCAACAGCAACATTACACACTATTTAAAATGAAAAAAGTGAAATCGCAATCAACCCTCCCCCCCCCCCCCTTTAAACAAAAACTGAATGCACATAGAGTGCTGCAAAGTCCTAAAACCCGGAAATTAGCATTTATGAACTTTATGAACTTTCATTGAGCAAAAATGAATGGAAAAAAGGCATTTGGTGACGTTGATGTCATGCAACTGTGGTGTAGTTCTTTATAGCTTAACTTTATCTGCTGCAGATTGTATTTATGCTTCAATATTCATGAACGTGTTCATTGTGAAGATTATCTTGATTAACAAAATGTGCAAGAATTATAAACTTGTCACAGAGCTTATTTTGCAATAATCCAAAAGCTAATGGTGCAAAATTCTGGGTTGTCTTGGAAAAATACACCATCCCTGCAGCAATCTATTAACCAAATATCTGTGAAGCATTTATTATAAGGTCCTTGAAAGTTAATAAAATGTAAGGTATTATTAAGTGTAACCCAATTTTGGGATAAAACCCAGCACCTATTCAGCAGTCTTCGTTTTATATGCTTCCCATTTTCTTGTTTATTCCTAGCTATAATTTCTGCTTTTTTTTCTGTGCAGCAGTATTTTTTTAATGTCATTCACACCATAGAAGTGTCACAAAACCATATCGTTCATATGAATATTGTGCGCTGTAAGTCTTCTGATACTTTGCTCTGAGGAACAGTTTAATCATTGTTCATTGAGAGAGCGTACGAATATGCGCTGCACGCAACTCTGCAGTCAATTACAACTTTTCCCATCTTAAATTGTTAACACGGAAATCAATATGTGGCGGTCAGCGCTGATAATGTGGTGGGCTGCCACTAATAAATGTATGGGAAACACTGTACCGGTTATCACTCAGTAAACATAGCTAGGCTATTTTAATACCGCCGTCTCTCTCATAGGAAACCTTGACATTTTTATTTTTAAAAATTGCGTTTGCTCCCTAGGTCAGGTTGCACCCCACAGCTCAACAACCTGCTCATCACCTTAGCTTTCACTGCATTTGTAGTCAATGCCATATTATCCAGTAAACACTAATAAACGAACAGAACGGAAGTTAACTTTGGGCCAGCTCGTCACCATGGCAACGCGTCTGATGAAAGCGTCTATAATAGTAGTGTTTAACCCTGTTCTTAGAGACCCACTATACTGCAGAATTTCATTTCAGCCTGCTCCAACACCCACGCCTCTAATTGTCAGTTAAGACCTTGATTATGGTTGGAGCTAAACCCCGGAAAGACAGTGGGTTTTCAGGAACAGGGTTGATTACAATTGTTCTATATGGCTATTTAGTCTCACCAAGTTTTTATATGTAAATGTTATGTTCTTGACTACTTATAGGGGATTATGCTGGCTTTCCAGGCTGTGGTCTGCTCAGGTTGCACAGCACCTACCGACATGACCTCAAGATCTATGCCTCGGACGAGGGCAGGGTGCAAATGACTGCTGCTGCCTTTGCAAAGGTCATCAACCACAACAAACACAGGTCTTCTAAGGTTTAAAGATATAAAGTTAACAGAGGATGTTAAGGTGGTGTTGGTTGTCTGCCTCGCAGGGTCTCTTGGCACTGGAAGGGGAACTGACACCCATCCTGGTCCAGATGGTAAAGAGTGCAAATATGAATGGCCTGCTGGATAACGATATTGACTCCCTCAGCGGCTGTCAGCAGAGGGTTAAGGCCAGACTTCATGAGATCATGCAGAAAGATCAAATCTTCACAGAAGAAGACTTTGACAGGGTAAATCAGAGTGCCAGACATCTTTTGAAAATATGGGGTGTATTTCAGTCCCTCCACTGACTTGAAATGAAAAGCACATCTGTGTCCACTTCATCTCTTTTGTTTCTCCAGCTGGCTCCGACATGCAGCAGCTCTCTGGTGAACTCTATGAAGGCTGTGGAGAATCCAGTGAGTATGTGTGATCAGGTCTACACCCTTGTCCAGAGCCTCACCTCACAGATCCGCAAAAGACTTGAAGACCCCAAATCAGCAGGTGATTGCTCTGTTCTCACTTAAAAAAAAGACTTTTAAAGGCTATACAGATAAACTTGATACAACCTGAGTAAATGCCTCTCTCAGATTTACAGCTGTACCACAGCGAGACACTGGAGATGATGCTGCAGCGCTGGTCTAAGTTGGAAAGAGACTTCCGCATGAAGAGCGGCCGCTATGACATCAGCAAGATTCCTGACATTTATGACTGTGTTAAGTATGACGTCCTGCACAACAGCTCCCTGGGCCTGGAGGACACAGGGGAACTCTTCAAGCTCTCTCGAGCTCTAGCCGACATTGTCATACCTCAGGTGTGTGAGGAAATGCTGAAACGTGATCCTGTATGTTTTGCCCTAAGATAAAGTTTATTTTTCTTCAGTTGCTTATGTGAATTGGGCTTGGCAGAATACAAGTATTTCATTAGAAATTCCCCCCAGCATTTTTTCTTTTAAGTTTTAGTTTAAATAGGTCCTTATAGGTTTTATTTAGCTTTAGTTTTAGTTATTTTAGTACTTTAACTTAAACTAAATGTAAATAAGAAATGTTAAGTTAGTTCTGAAGGTAAAAGTGGGTGCAACCCCTGAAATACATTTAATATATATATATATATATATATATATATATATATATGAAGAGTTCAGATGCAAAAGCCTCTAAGTGCCATTTGAAATTTTCTTCTAGAATGATCATTTTTATCAAGCTTGTATATTTAAGTTCAGTGGTTTCACTTAAATGGCAATGATAATTACCTATTAATTGTTATTTAAGTGAAATTACTGAACTTAAATATACAAGTTTGATAAAAATCATCATTAAAGAAGAAAATTTCAAATGGCATTTAGAGGCTTTTGCATCTGAACTCTTCATATATATATATATATATATATATATATATATATATATATATATATATTATTGTATTTCAGTTTTAATATAGATTTTTTAATTTTATTTTAAGAATTTAAAATGTTTTTATTTTTGCTATTTTCGCGACTTACTAGAAAACAGTGATACTCTTGGGTACTGTAATCTAGTCTTCTAGGTAATAAAAGATTGTTTATTTTTAGTTATAATGTGGTCTCTCTGAATACTCAAATTTGATTTGCTGGAAGGTGTGGAAAAAACTTTTAATGCACAGGTATTTCCAAGTCAGTTTAATCTCTATTCTACAATAATGCACTGTTTTCATTGAAGAGCACACACACAAACGTCACTCGTACACATTCAAGAGTACAGACACTTATCAACACTGCCCTGTAACTTTTAGAAATAAAATGGCTTTGCTACTAAATTTCTACATTATATTTCTCAGCAAAGAGGGGGTTACATCGCTATTCTGAAGTAATTAAACTCACAGCTTCGTTGTTAATAGAGAGAGACACTGAACAGACGCAGGTACAAATCTCTCTCTTTCTCTCTCTCACTCTCGATAATTCAAATAAATGCTATAATTAATTAATTCAAAATCAAATAAATGTAATCTTACGCACTACTTTATCTCTGTGTCTGATTCAAAGTGGCTGAATGCTAGATCTTATGAAACGTAACTGCCGAAAATAATCATCAATTTTATTCTTTCGGTCAAATATTGTGCTGTAATCATCAATAACAGCTTTAAATTGTCTGACAATGCTGACAAATAACCCGCTTATACCTTATAAGCGGGATAATCCATGGCTAGCTCTGCATTAAACGATTTTAAACGATAGGCGTTTCTTTGCCTCCATGTCATCCATTAAAATTGTTTAATGCACAGCAAGCTGTTTTTTGTTGTTGTGTTTTTTTCCCAAAATTCCTCTACCCAGTATTCCACACAAAGCCAGGATCTGCTCTTGTACATCTGATTGTAAACTACTTTTTTTTTATTTATTTTTTTAGGAGTATGGCATTAATAACGTGGAAAAGCTGGAAATTGCATATGCCTACTGTCTGCCTTTAGTAAAGAAAATTCTACTGGACCTTCAGAGAACACATGAGGACGAGTCTGTAAACAAGCTGCATCCTCTGTGAGTGCCCTGTTTTTTACTCTCATCTCTCATCTTTCTTTTATTTGGTCTCTCCTATTGACCATATGAGATTTGTCCATATCTTTGAATCCCAGATACTCACGTGGAGTGCTGTCACCAGGCAGGCATGTCCGTACTCGGCTGTATTTCACGAGTGAGAGTCACGTCCACTCCCTGCTTAGCATCTTCCGTTATGGCGGCCTATTGGATGTAAGTATTACGTATAGCACATTATAAAGAGAAATGACGAGGAAAATAGAGAATCGAAGTGGTGCACACGTAAGCTGTCCTGTCTACTGTCCTTCATGACTATGCCTAACACGTGTAAAAAGTGCACAGGTAACACTTTACAATAAGGTTCATTAGTTAACATTAGTTAACTACCTTAGTTAACATTAACTAATAATGAACAATACTTCTTCAGAATTTATTAATGTTAGTTCATCTTAATTTCAACATTTACTAAGACGTTATACAATCAAAGTCAGACCGTTCTGTTTTTGCTTTAAAACTTGATAATTAGATTGTATCTAATCAAAATAAAAAACAAATGTTCATGCTACATGCGTGTAGCATCTTTCTTTGTATCATGATAAAAATGCGGTGATTGCCTCTAATTTTAATTGGCTACAAATATTTTAATGGCAAGACCTGGACGATGACACCACTGTTTTTAATAGAACTGCTTTATAGCTGAGTTCAACTCGTTTCATATTTGATAATCTTTACAGTTAATGAACAGAACTGAATTAACACTGAACTCAGCTGAACAATGACACTGTTTTCTTTTTAGAGCTGCTTTACGGCCGAATTTAACTCTGTTTGCATAATTTTATCATTATTTTCCTGTTTATCCCTGTTAGGGTACTTTGAAACAATCTGTATTTTAAAATGCGCTATATAAATAAAGGTGAATTTATCATAAATGATTGTTGGTACATTTAGCAGGAGACTTTAACCATGTATCAAAGACAATAGAAGTAATTATGAAATTACCTGTAAAGATTTTTTTGAAGTCCTAAAGTTCTTAGTGTGCCAAAAAATGCATTTAAAGCTAAATTTAAACTAGTATCCATTTTCACTTAATTGCAGTCAACAACTTAAGCATCTGAAAACATTACATTCAGTTTGCACTTAAATCTATTTTAAAGTATATTATTTTCGCAGTTAAGTAAAACAAAAATTAAGTATGCTACTTATTTCACAAGGGTAAAATTGTACAAAAGCTACAGCAAAAGTACAAATGCAGAACGATAAGAGAGAACAGCAACACTTTTTTGAGAACCTTTGATTGTGGTTTCAGTTAACTGTTAAAGCATACATTTGCTGTTTCAGGAGGAGAAGGACCAGCAGTGGAAGAGAGCCATGGATTATCTAAGTGCAGTGCCTGAGCTCAACTACATGACCCAGATCGTCATTATGCTCTACGAAGACAACAACAAGGTACATCCTGCTCTCACTGTCTGTTCTACTCAACTGAGGCACAGAATAAACATAAGTGAACTGTCATAACTGAGCTGTCCAATGTTTTGTTTGAGTGGGGGCTGTGTAGTCTCAAAAGAGTTCTTCAAAGAAATGTGACAGTTGTGATGTGGTTAACTCAGGACCCATCCTCTGAAGAGCGCTTCCATGTGGAACTGCATTTCAGCCCTGGGGTCAAAGTATCTGAGGAGGAGAGCGCTCCAATGGGATTTGGGTTCCGTCCAGCCTCTGCTGAAGTATACGGACTTTCATTTGTTACATTTTTTTCATTATGTATTGGATTAGGTTGTTGTTACTTTTTTGAATTTTCCATATCTGTGTTTGTGTGTGTTGACATAGAATGACCAAAAGCAAACAGACCCTGGTAGTTTGGAAAATCTTGCCCGAGATGAGCACGACCGTGCCTTGCCCCTTTCGGAGGCCATCAGCACCCAGAGGAAATCCCCTCTGATCCGGAATCGCAAGACTGGCTCCATGGAGGTATCACTGTCGCCATCACACTCAACCACCTACTATGCCAATCATTGTACAGTGTGCTTTGTAAAATACTTCTATGTCGTCAAATTGACTGAATCAGGCTGGGTTTTATGTACCACAATTCAACAGTTCTATTTGTGTCTGTGTGCACAGGTCCTATCGGAAAGTTCATCCTCTAAAGGGGGCAGCTATCGCCTCTTCCCCTCCTGCTCACGTCAGTCTCCAGAGATGAAGCAGAGCGGATTAGGTTGGTATCATGTGTCTGTCCCTCAAACAACTGCTGTTTCTCTCTTCTTCCTGACAGGAACACACCCTCTCAATCCAAGGCAACACTATTATATTGCATGTTATTTCCGGTGTAAAAGCCATTTGCTGACCACTTGCATAGACGTTACATAGGAAATTGGTGGATCCAGACAGAGACAGAGTTTGTTGCATGATGTTGGGATGATGCTGTTCTTTTTTAGACATTTTTCAGCAATCATTCTGTATTTTGCTTTAGCCTATTTAAAAATTAGTGCTTTATTTAGTGCTGTAATCTGTGATGACTGTTTAGTTGGCTTTTTCTACACCTATGAAAGAAGGTGCCTTGAATTTGCTGCAATTCTAAAAGTGTAAAATTTTGCATGGTAAAAACATATTTTTGCATGTCTGACATATTTCATACCTAACTATTTGTAGACACAAGGTTAATTTGTGTAATCTACTATTAATGACACGTGAACGCTAATGTTCACTAATATCATACTTATCTGCTAATTTGCTAAGGGTTTTTTTGTGTTCATAATTGCTCCTAATAGATGTAATGTATATATTTCCATGAAAATTTCCCTGACCAGAACATTGCTTCTGTCTTTTGTTCATTTAGATTTCGCTCTACTAGCCTGTCATTGATGTTCGCCAAACCGTAATGGTTTTGGCATGCGTCATATATTATGATTTTATAGTCCTCTCGCTCCCTCTGCAGTAACTGCTGTGTTTTGATTAATAAGTGCATGTGGTTGGTGTGCACACTAATTCCATGGTCTAACCCCCTCTGCAGGCTCTCAGTGCGCTGGTCTCTTCAGCACCACCGTCCTGGGGGGCTCCTCTAGTGCCCCTAACCTTCAGGACTACGCACGCACACACCGCAAAAAATTCTCCTCAGGCAGTTTGACCTATAAAGACGGTATGTGCTCAGTCCACCTTCTCTCACAGAGATAATAAAAGAGTTTACAATGCAGGAACTCTAGGTAAAGGGCACTTCCTGTAAAGTTTAGGATTAAGAACTCTTTGTTACATCAGGTCCTGATGGTGTTTCACACACCTCGCTGTCATTCAGATCTGGTTCATGTTCATGGTCTTGAATGTGTGGAGTCTGCTGTGTCATTTAATGTCGTTCTGAAATTGTCTTTGTTTCTTGTCATATATCATATTTTGTGAGCAGTGTTTTATTTTTGACCTCATTTAAATGGAAGCCCATATTTTTATGTACCGCTGCAGGAATCCAAAAAAGTTTGAAGCAAAAACATGGTAAGAATGTAGATTTAGTAAACGGCAAACCCATTAAATTGGTGTTGAAATTATTAGTAAATTTGATAAATGATTCAGTGCTCTTTGGAGTGCTCTTACACACCGCTTCTTTCCAGAATGTTCCGTTTTTACTCTCCTGGTGAAACACTTTGTCCACAAGGTGTCAGTGTCACACTGTTTGGCGTTCCCCCCGTTTCAGTTCCCATTTCCTGTCCTGTTTTCTTTACTGCCGTTTTGCAGTTCTAACTTTATTCTCTCATTGTTACTATCGTATACATGAGCCTTTTCATTTATCCTAACCTCTGGCTGGTCTCTAAGACTGGCTGGTCATTCCCCAGTTTCTTTGTCTTCACTGTTGTGTGTGGTTGTGTCCTGTGAAGGCATTGCTGTTACGCTACACGCTCGTAAATTACATAGGTGAGGGGTTGATCTGACCGTCTCAAGCTTTTCATGCTTCTGTCCACCATTTTGTTTGTTCTGAGAGATGACATCTGATAAGATGGCATCTGTATTTACAGTAGAGAAGTGCCCATAAAGTGACAAGCCCAAAATATTACTATAGCTAAAGCGTTATAAATAGATCCACTCTGTGTGAAGACATTTAAGCAGATAATGATCTGTCGTCTTATTGTCATTTTCACTTTTTCCTTTTTTTTTACTTAAATAGGAACAGACTCAGTGAACCTATCTGTGAGATTAACATCTTCCTCGTAATATGAAACATTCTCACTCTTTAGCTAAAACACTAAACGCTACTAAACGCTGCTCTTCCTGCTTCCTGTCCCAGTCTGTATCCTGCTGTAGTCACAGTAGAAGCCCAGCCCTACTACACTCCTCACCCTACTACTATCCTTGACAGTCTCACACCTTCAGCTCTGTAACACCATCCCCATCCTATACAGGTGTACTGTAAAAATGGTAACTAGTGACCTTTTTTATTTCCTCAGAGTTGTTGTCTATGCCGGCAGTAAAGCGATTTTCTGTGTCGTTTGCAAAGCATCCGACTAATGGTACGTCTGCTTCTCTTCAAGTATATTTCCACTTTTTCCTCCACCTCCCTTTGTTTTGCATGCCAATGGAAAGCTATTTTCTTTTCGGAAATTTATGTTGGTTTTGTTTTCTTTCACGTGATTCCTGCCATCTTTTTAAACATTCAATCAGCCTCTTACCCTTTCCACATACACACCACTTTCGCTAACCTCCTGCAGACTACTCTCACTCTCACCCAGTGACTCGATGTTAATCAGTTTATGATTGACTGTTTGTGTGGATGAGTTTAAGCACGTGTTTGTGTTTCCTGTGCTTGTATGTGCACAAGTCTGTGGGGCGGTGAGTGTAGTACGCTGCAAAAAAATATCATCATCTTCTTATATCAGTATTTTTGTCTTGTTTTACATTTGGGAATCAAACTTACTTACATTGCTGTTCAAACATAATGAATCAGAGAGAATATATTGAATGAAGTTATTAAAAAACGATGAGAAAAATAAAATGAGAATATATATTCTTTGAAATCAAGTTAAAATATTTTGTACAATGTTGTAAAGTAATTGAATTTGGATTGTGATCATTTCTATGAAAATAATAACAAAAATACTGAGATACTAAGATGGTGATGTTTTTTTTTTTTTTTTCAAGTGCACAATTATGAATATTTGTTCAAGATAATGAATCCGAGCCACTACTGGACAGTACGCCGGTGATTAAACCTTTCCCCTGTTAGCTCTCGTATCAATGAACAGTGTTTTTCACTGTTTTGACAGGTTTTAATAGCAGACAGGGATTGTTCACTGGGAAGTGGTTCACTTGATGCTTCTCTCTTTTTTATTTAAATTCAATGTGGTTGTGCACTGTAATTATGTTAAATGCTGTGAGTGTTGAGTTATGAAGCAAAGGAGTATTTTACCCTGTTTTCCACTGATTCTTCATTGGAGGCAGCTTAAAATCTACAGTCCTGTCTACAGAAAAAGAGGCCATTATATTTGGAAATGCTAAAAACGACTAGCATTTCTTTCAAATTGAAATGAGAGTAAAATAATCTACCATACTTGCAGATGAACTCCTAGCCAGTGTTATTTGTGGTTCTCAACACTTAATTTATAGACACATGTGCTGTGCATAATCTGCATGTCGATGTTATGTTGGTTTAGATGATATCAGTGTATTTTTCTCTCTCTGGAAAAGAATCGTCTTCCATATGTTGTGATCAAAAGGATGTCCGGAGTTGTTGTCTAGCATAAACAAACCTGAATAGAGGTGATAACAAAGGTCAAGAACAATGCAAAAGAGAACTGATGTGAATTACCGCAGTGTGTTATATTTGGACACAGTCCTGTATGTGTTCAGTACATCTCATGCAAAGCTTAAGATGGTCCCTGATCCACCTACACTATCCCATTCCCTGCCAGATCCCACACACTCTACCCACCACACATTCCCAGCCATGCAGCTCTCGAAGCCTTTCACATAGGAGCCTTTTCTCCAAACTAATTATGTCTGTGTAGTTAATAAGAAATACTCGCTTGCCTTCACGTCTCTGAAACGAGTGCAACCACTTTAATTTAAACAAATTAAATTCATTCAGCCTAATTATTATCCTTTTGTGTTTTCCCGGTAAGTGTGTAAATGTGGGTCAGGTGGGTATCAACTGTCACCACAAGGATAGTTAAACCTGCAATCTTCTACATTTTGGGCCCCTCCCAATGGTGCACATGATGAAACGGCTTAATGAAGATATTGTATAATGTTTTAATTAAAATCCATAAAGGCCAAGTTGTGTTTGGGTGTAGCAAATATAATTTACTGATTTACTATAAAAACAACTGAAGTTATTAGAAAATGCACACTATGAACAAATGTGTGTTTGTGTTTGGACAATTGGTTATCTAATGACAAATGACATGAACCTCAATATGCATTCAAGCCGCTGAGCCTGATTTTTTTTCATTGGTTTGTAAAAGGATTCTTTATAAACTGCATTCATTAATAACATTTACTACAAAACTGTTAAAACGAAATAATTTTCTTAATATTTTTAAATTATTTAAATAAGTAGTAATTACTAGAGCCCGACCGATAAAGGATTTTGAAGACCGATACAAATATTTTTGGGTTTTAAAATCCGATATTCCGATATATCGGCCATATATATATATATATATATATATATATAAAAGCTTACTTTTCTGCACAAGATACGTTTGATACTTTTTCTCTATGTCTAAATGTTCACTCCTGGCAAATCTAACTTACATTTTACAATGCAGGGACTGTAACTAGAGATATGCTAGTTATAAATACAGTAATCATTACTTTATTTAGGCAGAAAAAGTTAATTGTGGTTTCCAAGCTCATTAATGTTAACGTTAGCGGTCTTCCACTGATGATAGTGACATTAGCTTGCTTTGTGGTTAGCTAGTCTAATGATGAGCCATAGTGATGAGCCATAATTTAGCAATAGATAACATCATACTGCAAGTTGTAAAACATACATTTTCAATATAACAGACCAGGGAGAGATCATTGAAGCGTGTTTCGTCCGTTTTTATTTTATTTTTTAAATATTCATTTATCGGCCATTATGACTGCCGAAACCGATATTATGGAAAATGCCTAATATCGGCCGATAATATCGTCCGGCCGATATATCGGTCTGGCTCTAGTAATTACAATTTTTAAATAATCAAATATTCAAATAGAATAGATCCTACTAGATATTAGTTGCCATCAGGAACATTACCAACAACCTGTGTTAAAGGTGCATAAAAATGGCGTTTAAACTAACACAAAACATTTGGGGTCAGTAAGAAATTTTTAATAATTCTAAAAGGAGTCATCAAGGCTCTAAGAGGTATCAAAATACAGTAAAAACTGTAATATTTGAAATAACTATTTTCTATTTTAATGTATTTTATAATGTAATATGTTCCTTTGGTACTTGTTCACAGTCTTCAGTGTCACATGATCATTCAGAAATCATTCTAATATGCTGATTTTCTGCCAAAGACATGTTTATTATTAGTGTTGAAAACAGATGTGCGGCATACTATTTTTGTTCAAAATAAACAGAAGTCTTACTCTTTTCTAATATTATAAATGTCTTTACTGTCACTTTTTGGTCAATTTAATGCATCCTTGCTGAATAAAAGTATTATTTTCTTTAAAAAACAAACAAATCTTACTGACCACAAAGTTTTTGTGTATATGTGACCTTCTCATGGTGTAGTAGTCTAGTCGGGCTGTGATGTTTGACTCCACTGAGCACTGTGTTCACTTCAGGCACACAGGATGACACTTCTGCCATGGCGGTTAAACCACCTCTATGGTGGTCTGGCTCAGGTAATGATGGATCTTTATCCCACTGACTGTGCAGCTTTAATCCAGTCAGGGCGATTGAGTTAATCGTGTCCATGTGCATGCTGAAGAACTCACAGTGTGAGGAAAAGTAGATCCGTTTAGAAGTTCTAGATGTCAGTGTGGGAATGTAGTCCATGTCTGTGTATAGCTTAGTGAGTTGTTCCTTGAATCCCTTGTGGTCTTGTGCCTTAAGCGATGAATGTTGACTCCAGGAGATGGTACTGTTTCCTTTGCACTCTCTGTGCATAGAACTGTACATCATTGTTTGTGGATGAAGGCGGTGGACTACAATGGACTTAAGTGCTGCTGTGTGTTTGCTTGGGATTACCTGCTGGTGACCAGTTGCTCAAGGCCCTTGTTTAGCTGTGTTTAAATGTGGAGAAGTGTGTATTAAACGCTGTCAGATCTATTGTGGGGAGTTTTTCTGATAGCATGCTGAGTAATGAAACGGTGATCTCTGTACCCACGAGGACCCTATGCCCTCACCCGTCTGCTTTCCAACCCCTACTTCCCACTCTTCTCTTCCCTGCTTTGCCTCTTCTTCCTCAGAAACCCTGGAAGAGCATCAGGTAGCCCAGCTGCTGAGGCGCTTTTCCAACGACCCCAATATTGGCCACCCGTTCTGTTTGGACAGTGCTTTTGCCCACCACCTCCATCAATGCTCCTACCATCTCCGCCTCTTCCGCAACTGGTTAATCTCTGGCCAGGACCCGCTAGAGTACCTCTACGGTCAGCCCTGCGGAGGTCGTTCCGTGCCCTGCTGTGCCGTGACTGCAGTAATGGCCTCAGCTTTGCTCTAGCGCCTCTGCTGTTTGAAGCATGCTTGTGTTATTGGGAAAAGCAGCTTGCAGTGACGCAGCTCTTGTTTTTTTTTAACTTAGTGAAGTTTATGTAGATTGTGAATCTCTTTTTAGGGCTGTCAGGAAAATAAAATGAAAAAATATTGTGTTTAATCGGGTGTAAAATTGTTAAATTTGCTACCCTGTTTTCTTGTTAAAACATACTACCGCTCAAACATTTGGGGTCAGTAATATTTTATTATTTTATTATAAGTAATTAATACATTTATTCAGCAAGGACACATTAAATTGATCAAACATGGCGGTGAAGACGTTGTTAAATGTTTCCAATTAAAAACAAATGCAGTTTTTTCCCTATTCATTAAAGATGATTGAGTAATGGCTGCTGAAAATTCAGCTTTACAACAGGTATTTTAAATGGTAATTACAAGTCATAATATTACTGTTTTTATTTATTTTTGATCAAATAAATGGAGCCATATTAAGCAAGAGATGTCTTTCAGATACAGTACATTCAAAAATCTTACTGACCCCAAACTTTTAAATGGTTGTGTAATGAAAGGGAACTAAATAACATGCACGATTTTTTTTCCCACCAATGTGTAGGTGATATTTCAGATTTTTCTTTTTACCAAATTACCCTCCACCCCCAATTTTTTTTAATTATTTGTAATGCACCCAGTTGGATTTATCAAATAAATTAGCCCTTAAGAAGGTCTGTGCTTGTACTCTTGTGAGCTATTCAGACCAGTGTTTAGAAAGAGGACAGAACAGTTTGAAACAAGTTTTGAATGTTGAATTCGGCGTTGTTCAGAGAAGACGATGGAGAAGCATTAGGAGTGATCTCGCTGCTGTTTGCTGGGGTGTGTTGTGTGTGGCAGACGCATGCCAGTGGCATCTGATTGCAACTGTGTCCGCTTACAGTCGCATCGGCTCTCTGACGTATCAAAGTAACAGTTACAGTGACTGACTTGCATGATAGGGGCAAAACGGAATATTGTAACTTCCTGTTCCAATTGTGAGTTATTATTTTCCAAATTTTTAATGTATTATACTCTATTTAAATCACTACTTCATACATAATCATACTCTTTCCTTGTTTTTTGTTTACATTCTCCATTTTCATAAGTAATAGAAGTGATGTTTTGACATGAAATACATGTCTCCTTTTAGAAAGTCATGCACTGTTTACATGATGATCTGCAGTTCTGACATCCATTCCTGTTTTTATTCCCGTCTCTGCCAGCTCCCTCCTAATTTACGTGTGTTGCTTTCATCTACATTAAGAGTTTGGTTTTTCCAACTAAAAGAAGTGCATAGAGACTAACAATTCATTAACAATGGAACCTTTTTGTTTTACTTGAAGTTGTGTGTGTGTGTGTGTGTGTGTGTGTAGCTACATCGCTACCTAATTGTGTATTATTAGTCTTCATTTTTGAATGTAGATTTAGATTTCCTGTGTAATACTGTACGTGACAAGTCTTGAATGAATGGTAAGATGAGGTGGGTTTGTTTGTGTGCATGTGTGTCTGAATGTTTCCCGCCTGCGACTCTGTTTGTAGTTCTGTCACTAACAAGGGTTTGGCAGTAGATTAAATGACTTGTCATTGGTTCAGTGGTTTACAGATACTTGAGTTTTTCTTAAGTGTACACTGATGTCTGAATAGAGGACTGTTTTCTCTCATCTGTAGGTTTTGAAGGCTGCTCCATGGTGCCCTCCATCTACCCCCTCGAGACCCTCCACAATTCGCTCTCTCTAAAACAAGTCAACGAGTTCCTGACCGCCGTGTGTGAGAATGCAGGAGATTCCCACACCAGGACAACCAGAGGTGATGCCCATAACACCACTCTTTCCATGGACTTAACTAACCCAGGAAATGACTAATAACATGGCATACGTTTAGGTCACTCTCAAATTCTTTTTGATACTGTAACTGTGTGTGCTTGTCTCCACTTGTGTAGCTTTCTCAGGCATGTTTGACTCCCAGAATCACCCCACAGGGGAATCTTACATGCCTCACAGAGTGCTCTGCTCCTCTGTTTCAATGCGCCAGCGCTCTGATCGGCCGCCCTGGTGTAAGTACTGCTACCCTAAGTACTTGGCATGGAACAATGATATTTGTTAAAGCTACACTGTGTAACTCTTTTATTTTATTCTTAGCTAAAAACACTTAGTTCTTTCAAAAATATATGTGCTCATTAATGTACATTTACTTCGTTCAAGTAATAAAGTATTCTCGTGAGTGTATAATATGCCATTGAAAATACATACGGGTAAGGGGTTCTAATGTCGGTCGCCATGTTGCCCCTCCATCTCGAAAGTACATTAGCCAAAGAGGGACATACCCGTTAATTCAAGCTTCGCCTATCGCGTTTACGTTTCAGTTAACACTCATGGATGAGGTCGAACTGGAAGCCATGTTAATCTTGGAAAACATTGGCCACCGTAGGAGTTAAAACGAAATCAGAATTGAGTGGAACAGAAACTAATATTCACTGGATGATCATATACCTTTTTAAAAATCACACAGTGTAGCTTTAACATTTAAACATCTACTCCATCCAACTTATGTAACACATTGCAAGCTAAATTCATACATTTTCATGTATGTTGGGATATAATTATGCAAGCTAACAGGATTAGCAGTACACGACAGCCTCAAGCTCACGACTTTGCTTTTTAGAGTAAGGATTTACTGTTGATTTCTACAAATATACACTTTTTAATGATCAGTTCTTTACTAAACAAAGTCATGGTAACAGTACCGATTTTTCTTAATAATACATTATGACTACTAAAATCCAAAAAAATAGAAAGAATAAAGATAGATATTTTAGAAGATATTTTGCAAATGCATCAATGAGTAGTGAAAACAGGGCTTGAGCAGGCAAAAAAGGCATCCTCTTGATGATAGAATTGGTAAAAAAAACAACAAAAAAAAACATGTCAAAGTAGAATAAAGTTACTGGATTTTTCTTGATGCATTTAAAATAAAAATGTATTTAATTAACTTGGGCTGTCAAACGATTAATCGTGATTAATCGCATCCAAAATAAAAGTTTGTGTTTACATAATATATGTGGGTGCGCTGTGTATAATTATTTTGTGTATATATAAATACACACACATGCTTGTATATTTAAGAAAAAAATATTATTTATATGTAAAATATTTATATATAATATAAATTATACATAAATCTATATACAGTATATACATGAAATATTTCTTAAATGTATACAAGCATGTGTGTGTATTTATATATATAAAATAATTATACACAGCGCACCCACATGTATTATGTAAACACAAACTTTTATTTTGGATGTGATTAATCGCGATTAATCGTTTGACAGCTCTATAATTAACACATAGTAAATCAACTATCATCTGAAGTCATTTTTTACACAAACACATGTGCATGAGAGACACATGGCGCCTGTGTGTGTGTGTTTCTCCATGCAGACAGCAGTGGTCCCTCAAGTACAGTGTCGAGCGCCGGCCCCTCGTCTCCCACCACGGCTGACACATCTCCTCGCTTCAGCTTCAGTGAGAAGATCACGCTCACCCCGCAGAGCAGCGAGGAGATCCACCCGACCCCTCACAACAACAGCCACTGTGTCTCTTCCACATTTGAAACCAGCCTCCCCTCTGAAGACCCCCTCCTTTCCATACCATCTCCCATCCCGGAGAAACCCAGTGAAATAGAAGTGGACGGCACAGACTCTGCTGGCCAGTGTCTGACAGAGAGCCCCTGCCGTGATGAAGTGTCAAATCCGGCCCCTGCGGAGCTCACTCCTCCTTGCTCTCTCTTGGCAGACGGTTCGCCGCTGACGGAGTCCTCTTGCGGGATGCCCGGCTCCCTGCCTGTGCTTCTGGAGCTCAGAGAGAGCAGCTCAGAGGCCGGCTCCAGCGCCCAGACCCCGCTCACGCCCGACGAGCCGGATGAGTTCTTTGATACACAGGAAACGGTTGATGTTTGGGGGGGGAGCCCGGAGACCCTGCCACACCCTGGGACGCCACTGGAGGTGGGAGCTCCACATGTGCCTGAGCCGTGAAGGAAACGCTCCCCCATATACATGCGTCCTTCGTCCCATCCCAGCTTGCTCTCGCTGTAGTGCCTCAGACCTTCATAAAGTCCCAAGCAAGTCAAAGTGGGATTCCCCTATGTAATTTAAGGGAATAAATGGACTAAGGTGACAATCCCTGCGATTGTCACCTTTCGAACTTGAAGATCAAATGCTCCTGTTACAAAATCTTGATAAACTGTCCTTGTGTTTAATTCTGTAGTGTTATTCAGAGATGCTTCCCGCGTAAAGCATCACTCTAGTCCTATGGCCAGTGAGCAAACATAAGCTGTTAGACGCACTGAAACGTTTTTATGTGCACATATTATCTTCCTCGTCTCCAAACGACTGCATTTTTGTTTCTTCATTAGCTGGTCTGGAAGATATTTTTCAAAGGGACGTGATATTTGATACTAGTTTGTGTTTGCTAAAGTACTTAGTCAAGCTTTTGAATAATGAACTTACACAGCTAAATGCATAAAAAAGGGATAGTTCACCCAAAAATTATCGTTTCGTTCTAAAACCATAAGACTGGCCCTTGACTCCAAGTTTCTGGCTCTCCATTGGAAACTTTGATGCCTTAAAAAGGTCATAAAGATGTTTTAAAAGTAATCCATATGAATGAATCGAGTGAATCAAGTCTTCTGATGAAACACGATCACTTTATATGATGAACAGATTTCGTTTAGGCATTTATTCACACATAAACATTGATCAACACGCATACATAGAGCACATCAAATATGTTAAACGGAAGCTCAAGCTGTATTTTAGTGAAATATCGTTGGTTCAAGCACGTTTGAGCTTTCATTTTCCATATTTCAATACATATTGAGTACGGTATGTATTACTCAATGTTAATGTAAACAAAAGCCTAAATTCAGTCTGTTCATTACATAAAAGAAATCATGTGTTTTTAGAATACTTGCCAATATTTATAAGAAGTGAAATTTACTTTCAATGAAGGGAGATATCTCAAGTTTAATTAAAAATACCTTAATTTGTGTTCTGAGGATTGGAACATGAGAGTGAGAAAATGATGACACCATGTTATTATTATTATTATTTTTTTAGTGAACTATTCCTTTAAATTAACGCTACCATTTTATTACTGTTTGCCAAAGCTTGCTATACCACTGTCATAATTTATTAAATCATTATAAAATACATATATATTTAGTCTATATATATATATATATATATATTTATTGACTAATACGCAGCTTACTTTTAACAATGAAACTGCAAATGAGAAAGTCTCGTTTTTTATATATTTTAGTTTTTATTTTTGTAAAACATACAGTGCTCTCACGGTTTTGAATAATGAAATAGTGGTCTTCATTTTAACTACCTTTCTCTCGCTTCACCTTTTTGACAAATGAAATGCTTTTTTGTACCGTGACCCTTTGAGATCGTGTACTGAGATTACCATGACACACAAAAATGACACACTTTAAAAAAAAAGGGAGAGAGAGAGAGAGAAAGATGCTTCTTTTCAGAAGCATATACTGTACTGTTTTTCTTTTGGTTTTGATAGTGGATGTTGTTTACTGAGCATGCAGAATGTGTATGTAAAAGTAACTTGCTCTCTCTGACGTAGGACCACTGAGCTTGCAAGACCTCTAGAATCTAGAGACGAGCATTTCACTTCCAACCTCCAGCAGTGTCTGTGAATTATCCCACTCGGGTCAGATAACAGCGAAGCACACTGAACCCACTTACAACTGTTTCTATAATCACTGACATATTAAAACTCAAACGTGTCGTACTGTTGGTGCTGTATGCCGTCTGTGCTGTAGTATTAAATGCCACTTTGATTTAGTGTTTCAAATAAAAATGGCATTGTCTACAGAAAACAATTGTCTCTTTGTAACTTGTTATGTGTGAACTGCACTGATTAGATATAAAAATCAAGCACCAGGTTTCTCCGCATTTAACAAGAGGACCTTATTTCACTTGAACCCTCAAAAAATGTACATTTTCCTCACTAAGGTCTGGCATTACATATTTTCAATGCTTAATTTACTGTCTCAACAGGTGTACACTTGTATAAGCATCATTATCTCTAACCGTTATTCGTCCTCATAACTCGTTGGCATGACAGCGAGGTTCTTATCCTTCACCACCTGGAGCCAAAACGCATCTTCAACGAGGCATAGTGAATAATCTTTATAGTATCACACATTCAGTGAATTCAAGTCTCACCACCAAACAGAATCCAAAATGTATTTATTTCCATATGATTAGGATCTCTGAACACAGTAGGGCATTGTTGGCATTTCCCGCTGCTGTGCCAAGCACTGCTTTCTGTTTTCTTTAACACAAGGCTGTTGTTCATTTCCATGCCTTTCTCTCAGAAACAGACATGGAGGGGAGGAAGAGATAATAGGCATGTGACCCAGACAGTGATGTCATCGTCATGTGAATTAAGCTCGCTTTTCGGTAGAGGCTGCGGTGTGCTGATCCCCAAACCCTCGAATTGTGTGAGTGTGCTAGAAATTCTAGAACATTCTTTGCTTTCATTTTATTCAACATGTTTACTGCTGTAAATGAATCAAAACGAGTCTTTTCAGGCTTGAAATCGAAATAAAGGACTCAATTTAATCATTATTCAGTGTTTTATCTCAAACTCGCTAAAAAAAATAAGGTTACACTTTATTTCAATAGTCACTTTAGACGTTCTACTAATTATAAATAACTTTTCAACTACATGTCAATTAACTCTCATTAGATTATTAGTAAATTATAGTAGACTGTCAGTAGACTGTTAGGTTATGGTTAGGTGTTAGGCTTTGGGTTAGGAGATTAAGTTGACTTGTAGTCGCCAAGTTACTTATAGTCAGTTGATTGTCTGTTGGGGGACCAACAAAATAAAGTTTTAGCAGATATTAAGCAGACAGTCTACTAATACTCTAATGAGAGTTAGTTGACATGTAGTTGAAAAGTTACTTATAGTTAGTTGAATGTCTAAAGTGGACTATCGAAATAAAGTGGTACCAAAAATAATTAACTGAAATAAAGAAAATATAGCGTATTAAAAATCTTTAAATTGTTTATTTCAATTAATTGCCAAGGAAACATTAGTTAGTTTAACTTGGTCTTGATGCACTACAATAACAAAAACTATACTTTAAAAAAAAGTAATAAAAATGACTAAACCTTACTCAAATTAAAACTAATTCAAAATATTGGTTAAAACTATAATAGTATCTTACTAACATAACTCTGTATAAAACTACATAATGTTTGACATATGTACTTTTAATTTATTTTACTAAAAAGTATTCTAATTCTAAAGTAAAATATTCTAAAGTAAAAATTCTACTGTATTTAACTTTGCAACTACATGTCAACTAACTCAATTCAATTCAAATTTATTTATATAGCGCTTTTCACAATACATATTGTTTTAAAGCAGCTTTACAGAAAGTGCATTTCAGAAATGTACATAGAAAAAATACAGTTAATACTGTATTAATGAGTATTAAGTTATAGGTTATATTTAAGTTATATTTATAAGTTATATTTTAGTTGCAAAGTTACTTAAAGTTAGTAGACTGTCTAAAGTGGACTATTGAAATAAAAGTGTTATTTCAATGAAACTAAAGTGTTACCAAAGAGTATACTCGCATTCAATTTCCATGGGAGACATTCATGATTCTGACCGCTGACTCAAGGAAAGGCTAAAAACTTGTTGATATTTTCCATTAACATATTTTATTAGTGATTATCAGGTTTACCTTTCTACAACATATTTGTAGACACTCATTTAGAGAGCTTAAAGAAAGATACAGAGTATTGCACATGAAGAGAGAGAAAAATCAAAGCAAACGTAATGAAAACATGGAAAATGAAAAATAAATCCAAGTCTACATTTTCTTAACAACACTGCACGCTGGAAATGATAGCGCGGCTTGGTTATATGTGCCTTTCAGTACAATTATCATTTAAATATGTTTAAAATAGTACTTTATTTGATATAACTAAGAACTATTACATACAAGTTTGAAATTAAGATCACATGCATTAAACAGCTAGGCTCAATGGAATGCTATATTTCAGTTTTGATTCTACTGAGATGGCAAACTCAACATTGCAACTAAGGGATGTTTTGCACAGCACATCACGACTATTTTATTTTTCAAACTTTTTCAGTTGTCATCTTAAAAAAAAAATCAAAAATAAATAAATAAATCACACAAGACACTTACAAATCTTGAATATAAAACGTGATCGGTGATCTAGTCACTTGATCTGGCAGTCTGCAGTCTGGTACTTGTATGTGTTTGTTTTGTTTTCTGTGGTACTGCGAGGTCACATCTGGGTTTCACCATGTCACAGCCAAATAACCAGCTCAAAAGTTACAGCACCTTAAAAACATTAGAGGCAAGCATTAACCGTGTATCCTCATACATTGTTCCTCAGAGAAATATCAAGGGGTGTGCTGAACCATTTTGTCTAGCTGTAAATATGGACTTTTCTCCAATGATGAAGGTCAACAATCAAATCTTATAGACCAATAAGAGAGACTAAGTAAATCAGAATTGTAAAAACTAAAATCTTGTGAACAGTATTACAGATTTGACCCAAATGGACCTTAAAAAAAGGGAAGTTTTCCCTTCCAACCTTCTTTCTTTAATATAGGAATGAATTGAGCCAAGCACCTACAGTAAAAGCATAGCAGTACTTAAATGCATGTTCAGGCTGTTACCTCATGGTAATATACATGCAGTGCATACAGTTCTTTAACAGAGTTTTCTATCCATCAGTAATTGATACAAGATCATTATTCCTTTCATATTTGATCCTGCTATGTGACACGAGCATAGTGTCACATGATCAGATATTTTTAAACCTTACATATTTAAATATGCACAAAGAAAAACAATTCTGCGGGCGTATTATGACAGCATGATTTCTGTCCATCGCTGTTCATTCTGAACAACAGAAAGTCAAAAAAATAAACGGTAAAAAGTGATCAGTTGACTTAACTTAAAAAAAAAAATACGATACCTGTTGCATTCAAATTATTTGCTTCAATTGTCAAATTCACATAACGTAATTTGTTCAATTACTCAAGTTAGTCACCTTTTTTTAAGTTAAGTCAACTGATCACTGTTTACAGTAAACTTGCCCGTCTTTGAATCAAGAAATTACTTTTATACTTCAAAATGTCACCTATATCTTGATACTACACGTATAGTTTATTGATTGGAATGAAAACAACAGCTCTTGCAGTACCGGTCAAGATAAAGGTGTATGTCTCATATAAAAGCCAGAATCTGCTTTGAATAACTTTAAACATACAATAACATTTTTGGAATAGGTTTAAGTGCAGTATCCGCAGCTCACTTCTTTCATATCACCCTATGCAAAAACATGGGAAAAACGTTCATACATAAGTGTATTCATTGAATACCATGCATTTCCATTGCCGGCAACTTTGGCTTGCATTTTCTCAGTCGTCCTTTCTTCCTATTCCTTTACATTAAGAAATTTTGTCTTATATACATTTTATAACCAATAGAATTCAAGGGGAAATCATAACAAGGTGCTAAAGAAGTTTCTTCAAAATCAGACGAAATTAGGAATAGAACCTACTTCTCAATGTCATAAACACTAAAAATAATCATAAACTCTGTGAACATACACTTTATACATCATTTAATGAGAAAATAAGATTTGACTCCAAAACTTCCACTCTGTTGTTTAGTCCTGACAATAAACCTACCGTCTAAGCATTATTCTTTATTCAATTGTTTTTCAGCATTCATTTACAAACAGAATTTTGTCCCGATCTAGTTGCAATATTTATTAATTTAATGTTGCTGATGCTGTCATTCTACAATACAAATTCAAAGCAAGGACAGGAATGTTAAGTCATTTTGTGAAAACCACATAAGTTGCAGCACAACTACATGTCCAGCATATGCATTTTTATTTATTTATTTTTAAACCTCTTCATGTTTTTTGTTAACTAAATTCCTATTTGTGAAATACTAGCACCCAGGTATTTGTTAAACTCTCTGCTGATTTATGTAGCCTCAATTGGTATCTGAATGTGGGAAACCTTGATTAATAGACGATAATTTGACATGTAGAGTGAGTGTTTGTGCTATGTAAGAGGATGATATATAAATCAGGGCCTAAAAGCAAATGATAAAGTGTACATGAACTAATAAGATGAAAACAGGGGTATCTAATCTGGTTGAGAAGCAGTATTTGGTGACTTTCTGGTGCTTTTGTTCAAAAATAAGTAAAGAGGTATACTTGTGCTTCAGTTAAATATCATTGTAAACAAGGCTATACAGTATATCAACTTTGTTATTGTATTTATCACACTCTTTTGGTAACCTTGTTCAGTATAAAACTATGACTGGGAATGTAACCATGAAAACTAGTTTAAACAAGTTTAGCCCAAAATCTAAGGGTTAAGAATTTTCAGCAAGAAATCTATTACCTTATGTATATATGTATTGTACAACGTAAAGGGAAAAGCCACCCTGAAAAGTGAAGGCACGTCTTCCTTTTGTTCTCTTGAATTCCAGTAACTAAACTCATCACAGGAAAGGATAATTTAGGTTTGGGTTTTAGGGCAATAGACAACATGTGCTGTTTTAAACCATGAGAAGTTAAAAATAAAAAGTGAGTAAACTACAATCAAGGCTGTAACGGACCATTTGAGAGTAAAGATGCGAACCAGGGAGCCATGCTGAATTTAGAACTCTATTTTGCAGGCAGGGAATGACTCGTCCTGCATCACAACTGTGCTGCTGCTGGCCAGGACCATGATGTTCAGCTCCTGTTGCTTCTCATGGGTCTGCTGATACCACTCACGGGTCACTTCTGTGTCATGAGTAGGTATCAATGTTACCTACAATAAGTACAGTGAAAGAGTAAGAGAAATAGTATAGCAAAGTATTAGTATTAAGGCCCGTTCACACCAAGCACGGTAACTATAAAGATAACTATAAAGATATAATTCTAAAAAACGTTCTCCATATTAAAGAATAACAGAGTTCACACCACAGCTATAATGCTAAAGATAAGAGGAACGATATCGTTGGGATCACTTTCAGAAAACACTGACAACCAATCAGAATCCATTCTAATTTAAAGGTCTTGCGAATTTAAAATGGCAGATGACATTGCAGAGAAGTTAATCATTGAGGTACAAAGAAAAAAAAATCCTCCACTGTTTGACAAGTCAAACCCCCTTTTCAAGGATACGTTAAAAAGATGGATATATGGAAAGCAATCGGTCGTATCCTGGGAATAAATGGTGAGAAGTATTCACAATGAGATATTATGCAGTTTAGCATAGTGTTACAAAATCCAGCGCTAGTTGATAACATTGCTGAAGTTGCATTGAAAAAGGCTTTGTATACATAAAGGTGTTGACTAGGTGATGTTTTTATCCCATCATTGACTTTGTCAGCTAAATCCACTGTTAGATGTTATACTAGACTTGCTAGATTCACTGTTTAGATGCGCTCCCAACTCATCTTTTAAGGATATCGTGTACCCAAAAGCGGCTGTTTTTCTTTTGGTATTTGTTTGTAACGTAAAGCAGCAGGGGCAGTCATCAATTTTAGCTACTTTGAAACTGCACCACATTATAAAAAACCGTTATCAGTCATTGGCGTGGATGCATACATAGTTATCTTTATAGTTATCGAGCTTGGTGTGAACGGGCATTTAGCACAGTTAGCTTCATTCATTGACCCCCCATTTACTGTATATGCATAGCATCCATAGAATATCCATCAAATTAATAATCAAATTACAAACTTCCAATGTTGAGAGACCAATAAACAAATATTATACCTGTAGATTGGATCCCCACTGTGCCTTTCCCTCAAGCAAGGCGTCTAGTACACTACGGCTCGGTTCTCCACTGCTGGAGTCGTTTCCACTCACTACATAATATGCAGAGCGAACACGTTTGAAAAACTCCTGGTCCACATTTTTAGCACTGCAGTGGTTGGGAATGTAGGCCAGATCAACATAGATAGGAGGACCAGGGGGCACAGCTGCGCTGAATTTTGCATAATTCGAACCTTTTAAGAGACAACAATGGTGTCAGTGTAATGTTAGCAAACAAAACAACCGCTCATCTCGATCTGCATATAGAAGACGTTTGTTCATACCTGCACTGTTCTTAAGGCCATTGACGAGGCCTTTGCCTGTGTTGTGGCTTGACCTTGACAGATCATCATCCATGTCCTTCTTCCTAAGAGAGGTGGTGTGAGTGGAGGGTTCCTTGGATGGGGACTTCTTCCGCCCAGTCTTCCGAGCAGGAGATGAGGACTTTGTCTTACTCAATTTACGTAAACCCTTTGTTTTGGTATCTTTCTTGACTGGTTTGTCTGTTATGCTTGACAGAGCCTCGGGGTCAACCATACATACGTCAGGGTGAGGGGAATAAGGAGCAGGGTCCCTCATTGGTGACGGGAGGGGATCGTGACTTTTGTTAGGTGACCTAGATGAGTAATGCTTCTCCCCATAAGCTCCAGATGATTTATCTATAGGCAGGTAATCTGCATCCTCATCCGAGTCATTGTTTCTTTCTGCTGTGATCGATGGATACTCTTCTGTACCTGGTGGAACATCAGAATCTGACTGGGAATGCGACGGCTCACTGACAGAAGTTGGAGGGGTGTCCTCCCCACTGGCACTAATCCCAGCGGCCAAGGCTCCAGAGAAGTGTTGCAATTCACTGTCCTCGCCATGATGACTGTGAGAGTGGTGGCGAGGTTGTTTGTCGGATCTTGTCTTCCCACAAGGTTGCTGTTGATCAGATGCTTGGCTTCTCTGTTCCTCATTTTCTTCGTCACTTGAAAGTTGGCATAAGCTTGGGTTGATAAAGGATGGAGATGTGTCTCCTCTCCTCTGCTTGTACTCACAGGAAGAATAGCCTGGGGAAGCTTTGGATGAATGTGGACGGATACCAACATCTGTAGGATAGTCAGAGTCATCATCGTGTCTGCTTGGATCGTCTGCATAATAAGAGGGTTGGAACGGTTGGTCTGTGGAGAGGGAAAGAGGACGGGCTGGGTGCTCTGGCTCAGTCTCTTCTTCTTCTTCAAACTCATCTTCATGTCGATAGTGAGGTGGGGATGCCCCAGGGTAGATGTCTCGTTTCTGCTGCATTTCCCATTCACCTGGACTCCTAATTTTCTTTACATCAAATTCTTGGCCTTTTGTCTCTGTTTTTGACAAGCCTATCCCCAAATTGCTGGTTCCAGCAAAAGCCTCTGGTGCACTCAAACTAACTTCTGCAGGCCCATTTGTTGTGTCTGGTTTTCTAGCCTCGGGGAAAGAGGAAGGATATGAGGTAAGGGCATCTGGAATAGTGGCTCCTAAACCAGAAGTTATGTCCTTTGTTCTTGTCTCACCCAAGGAAAAGTTGGCATCTTTCTTATCTGCTTGAGCTGTAAGTGTAGATCTTTGGTACTGAAGTTTATGTTGTTCAGTTTCGTACATGTAATCATCCTCCTCTTCACTACTCTCTGTGTCTTCATAGTACTGTTTTTCAGGGCACTCAAATGTCAATGTTGATGAAGCACCATACAGATCTTCAGGCATGGTGTCTTTCTGTGTGGTCGGAGGGATTGTGGAATAAGGTCCAGTTGCACCAAATTCAGCTTGTAATCTTGAGTCCTCGTCCCACTCCGGCTTATAAAAGCACTGAGTTTGTGGGCCTTGATCTGATATATTGCTTGTAGAATAAGCAGGATCTTTCTTATCACTTGTACCAGCATGTGGAGGGAAAGGTTTGATCTCCTCAAAGGGTGATAATGGTGAGAATCTTGCAAGACTAGGGGTGGATTCCGCAGTAGTGGTTGCAGGAGTCAGTTTCTCGGACACTTCTAAATAGTCATCCTTAACCTGCCCACCGGAACTGGAAAAAGGTGAATCAACTACTGGTGAATGTTCATCTTTGAAAGATGAGAACTCTATTCCAGTACAGGCTGGAGTCTCTAACTCATCCCCAAACTGGTGGCTAGTGGACAGAGATGCTGAAGCTGATGAAGAATGGCTGTAAGAAGAGGAAGAAGAGTATGCTGTGGCTGACATAGTTGCGTAACCGATGCCCAATGAAACAGGGTCTGCTGTTTTTTTCTCCACTGCATCTGGTGTCTTTTGCTTGTCAAACTCAATATCTTTGCCATCATAGTGAGTAGAGTATTTATCTTCAGGAGACTTTATTGAGAGGGGCAAATTTGACTTGACACATTTCTCATCATTTTCTACAAACTTATTTTTCTGCTCACTTGAAGAATGTTGAAATCCAGAGGAGACTGTCATTTGACTTTCATTGGGAAAGGATGAGGCATCACCTTTATCAGTTTGAAATGAGTCCTTGGGGCCCTCATGGCTTAGGGTGGATTCAAATGTGGTTGAACCTAGAGATTTCCCAAAGGTTTCAGAGCCAAAGCTGTAGTCATTAGTAATGGTGTCTTTCTTTTCATCCTGGAATTGAGTAGGTACAGTGCTAATAGCACTAGTCAGTGGGCACTGGGCATCTTTCTCTTGTCTGTCTTTGGCACCTTTCTCAGTATCACTATCACTTACATCCTCATCATCCTCATCATCTTCATCATCCTCTTCATCCTCATCCTCTCCATCAGCAAACATCTTCATGTTTCCAGCTATTACTTCTTTTGTGCTAAATGTAGATTGGCCTAACATAGAACTCATAGTTTTACTGTCCGCTGCATAATGGACTGATTGTGATGCACCAACCTCTGTCATCCCAGTGAAATCTGGGTTTTCAAATTTAACTGAAAAGGGGTCTCTCTCTGCGGAAGCAGGTGAGGTTTTCTCAATTGTCTTTTCTTCAACTTTATTTATTTTCTCAGAGAATGTTCCTTCAGTGTTATCTCTAAACTGTGGTGTCCCGTAGACACTTTGTGTTTCACCATATGAAGCTAATGATGTTTCCTTTGCATCTGATGCTTTAAAGTCATACATTTTGCCAGTGGAAGATTCTAGGGAAGTCTCCTTTTCTGCTTTCTTTAGAGTGACATCAGTATCATCAAAAGTGGTCTCAGCAGGCAGATTTGGAGAGTAGGAATCCACTGAACTTGATTTACTGTCGTACACATCAGAATATGTAAAGCTTTTCCCGACATAGGGGGTATCTTGCCTAACCACCCTCTCACATTCTCCTTTGAGGCCTTTCTCACACTCTGGGAAGGAATATAAGTTGAAATGGACACTTTTATCGCTGTCTTTAGAGACCACGTTTGGGTCATCTATCTCTGAAAATGACACATCTTTTTTGCCTTGGTTTGCTGACATGGAATCTAACTTGTCCTGTGGTCCTTTTACGCTTGAGTAAGTACCATCTTCAGTTTCACTTTCATCTTCCTCTCCTGAGCTGAGCATCTGGGATTTGTGCTCATGGCCCAAGTAGGTCACATTTTGTGGTTTATCTTCCTTATCCACAGATTCTTTCTCATTTTCAAACAGCTTCTCCTCTTTCAGGAGTGTTGCCTCATTGGGGTATTCTTCGTCAAGAAAAGTGCACTCCCTCTCCTCTATGTATTTAGATTTACCACACACTTTAGAGCTTCCCTTTCCATAATAATCATCTTTCTCTTCATCTTCATCCTCTTCAGAGTCACAAATTGCAGTTTTAGTGCTAGAGAACCCCTTTCCAAAAGGGTCCACTTCGTCATCAATTATTTTCACACTTTTCAGACTTTGAGACATTTTGTCAGCAGCAGCATCTTGGGTCATATACCTCTGAGAGTCAAAAGTCTCCCTGTCTATTCTTTCATCTTTGTCCATAATCATTGGCTTTTGTGACCTTTCCTCAGTGGGCGAGTAGCTACTGCTGGTCGGTCCTGATTGTGTGGGTGAGGCAAATCTCACAGTGCTGTCATCTGGGCTGAGGCATCTTTCTTCACTCTCTGAGATAATACTCGTCTCTGAGGTGCAAGGCAAATTTGGTGAGAAGGACAAACTTTTATCAGAGGCGCCCAATTTAGATTCATCCTTAGAGAGTGAGAGTCCCTTTTCATCTTTTTCTGGTGTGCCAAAATACATCACAGGAGGAGAAATAGGCGCAGGCGATGAGGGAAAGTTATCAGAAGGTTTTTCAATGTCTTGGAGCATAGCAGCAGAAGCGTAACCCTCATGGATCTTTCCAAGTGGCATATCAACATTTGGTGTCTGATCCTCATCCTCTTCCTCATCCTCTTCATCCTCATAATTTGTGGGAACTGTAGCCTTCACTGTAGGTTCTGTTTCTGGAACAATTGGTAGATACTCCTCTGATGGAGGTGATTTAAAACATTTGTCCTCCTCTAAGGAAGAAGTTGGAGATATAGTTCCAGCAGAGTGGAGGTACTCCTTTCCATGAGTGGCATCTGTCTGTACAGATGATGGTATACTATTTATAGTATCTAAGAGTAAAGAGCTTTTTCCTGCATCTTCTGTAGGTGGTGCTGTCACAGATGCTATTGACTGATCTTCAGTAACAGATGTTGCAAAGGATGATAATTTGTCATATTCGGTGATGGAGGTGGCCGATGATATATGTTCTTCTTCAGCCAATGGAGCCGCAACTATATTGGATGCATAAGCTGACAGAACTGGCTCCTGGTCTAGTGCGAAACCCTTTGATGATAACTCAGACGCAACAGATATGGTTGGTGGTTTCATGCCATGGATGGTGTCAAAAGTCCCTGGTTCATCAGGAACTGAGATGTCATAAGAGCCAACATCATATTGAAGATGTGGGATTCTCTCCTCTGTCTCCTCGTTAATTTCCTCATCAGAGATGGTCTGCTCTGTCTCCGAGTAGCCTGGAATGGTCTCATCTTGGATGAAAGAAACATGCTCTGCAGCACCCAGTGGTTTGGCAGATGTAATGTCACTTTGTTTTGTCTCCCAGTCCTTTCCAAGTTTTTCTTTCCTAGCCTCGTCTGACTTGTACTTGAGCTCAGTCTCGTGAACTATATCCTCTGCTTCCTCAAGCTCTGCTTTCTCAATCACATCCTCATCTTCTTCACTTTCACTCTTTTTGGGTTTTTCTTCTTTGGCATTTTCTTGCCATTTTTTAACTTCACCCATCTCCACAAAGTCAGATGTTTTAGCACTGTTCAGTTTTGTGGTATAGTCATCCTCTATGTCATCTTCTGTAGTCGCACATTCATCCTCAAATCTACCAGTGGCTTTATTTGTGATTCCTCCATATGACACCCGTTCCTCGTGAGGGGACTCTGTCTCAACATCAGTTGTGGTTATTCCTTCATCAGGAGATTCAATGTCAGGGACGACAGTGTCCACTGCAGACAAAAGATTTGGGAGTATTTTGCCATCTTTGGGCTTGGAAAGCTCCTCTTCCAGTCGCAAGGCTTCAAAATCCTTGGTAAGATCCTCTGGGGAGGAGACTAAGGACCTATCACTCTCCTGTTTCACCACTGAAGCTTGTTTAGCAGCTGGCCTGTTTTCTTGCTCCTTTGCAGCTTTAGTTTTTTCTGTTTTAGGCTTTACTTGAACCTTTGCTTTGTTCAGAGTCTTCCTGACCTCAGGGGTGAAAGGCTTTAAGTCGGGTTTGTGATTTTTCTCAACTCTGGCTTAATTTTGTCTTTTTCTTTTTTCTTCTCCTCTTTACTTTTGAGTTCTTTTTTAACTACGCCCTCTTTTTTTACATCTGTTTTTTCTTTCTTTGTGTCCGTCTTTTCCTGATCTTTCTTTTCCTCCATCTTAGATGCCCTCTCCTTGATATGTTTTTTAGGAGATTTTTCTCTCTGTAGTTTCTTTTTCTCTTGCTTAAGTGAATCGGGTGACGCCGTTTTAGGTTTCAGTGGTTTTGGAGTTTTAACAGTCTCTTTTATTTTCTTCTCTTTCTTTTCAACTTTCAAGTTCTCCTTTACAGATTCACTCTTTGACTCAATGTCTTCATTTGCCTCTCTCTTGCTCGCTTTTGTAGTGGAAGACATTTTAGTGGATGATTTGAGACTTTCTTTGCTATCAGTTCTCAGCCTCATTTTAGTTTGTTTAATTAGTGGAGGTGGAGCTCCAGATGACATGTCCTTTTGAGTGGCAACTGGATAGCGCAAGAAATCGAGATGCCTCAGCTTTTCCAACCCCTCAAATATTTTGTTTTGTGGGGCATTTCCAGGAAACAGTACTCTCACAATCTTTTCAGTTGGACTGGCAGGTACCCACACAACCAGAGCTGTCACTGATGTGAGGTAAGGAACGGAAATCTCACCCTCTTTGCCATTGGACAGAACAATGCCAGTTTTAGCTTTACTATTACCAGCCCACTTCTGCATGAAGAATTGCATTTCCTTACTGTCCTTGAGAGGATTTAGAACATACATGTCTAGTTTCCCAACACCCAACTTGTGAAAGAGTGTTAAAGGCTCAATTGTGTTGCTTACAACTCTATAAAGAGGCTCAGGATTGATGCCTAGTTTGTGAAGGTACTGCAATGTAAGAGAGGCCTCCTCAATGCTCCTCTTTGCTTTCAGTGTGGATTCAGGCATCTTCAGCTTTTCTGGAACATTAAAGAACACAACACCAAGCTCTGGTGAGATCAGGTTTTTCATCCAGTCTCCATAGGTATTTGAGCCACGGCTCTTCTCTTCCTCCTGCTCCGCGATTTTTCTCTGTAACAGTCCATTTATGCCGGGGAGATTATCTGCCCCTATATGGGTAAGGAGAACAGAATCAATCCTATCCAAATGCCTGACCAGCTTCCAGAAGCAAGACTTTCTGTCTGATCCACCATCAATCAAAATATTAAAGCCATTGACAGCAAACAAAGCAGAGTCGCCCCGTCCTCCGGGAAAGATATAGCAGCATGGCTTGGACAACTTGAGGAACCCTCCTGAGGTTGGTGGTTCCAGGAGCTCAAAAGGAGAGGGAACGTCCACTGTCTCAGAGACATATTCTGTGAACTCGCTCACACCTTCCATCTCAGGCAACACAGGCTCAGGGTTCAGTCTGTACTTCAGTAAGCTCTGGTCCTGCACGTACCCAAGGGAGCTCCAGCCCCCCTCTCCTTTACAGGACACAGTCAAACAGGCTTGCTGACCTGTGGATGGCTGGTTTAAGAGGTCTTTAATCTACAAAGAAAGAAAGAAAAATGTTTCTTAAAAGTTCAATTAAAAAAATAAATGCTTAAGGAAATGCTTAAGTGCTGTCGTGTGAAGTATTATGGGATTAGTAATGTTGCAAATAGCTACTTACCCTACGACTTGAGAGAATGTCAGAGAAATTTTTCCAACCAAACACTCCACTTTGCAGGATAATGTCACCAGTCTGTTCAGTACTTTGCCCACTTAGGACCAATAACTTATGTCCTGCTGAGTCACAGAGCAGTGTTCTGAACTAGAAAAGAAAAATAATGCATTCATTGTTATATTAAAAGGGACAGTATGTAAGTTTCACTGCTAGAGGTTGCTTATTCAAAACAATAATGAAAGTGTAGCTTGATGACGTCATTAATAAGTGTGAAATCGTGGGAGTTGTCGTCTTCACCTCCACAGCCAGCAGATTGAAAGCAATCTGACGGGACTCGGTATCTGATCGGTATTAAGATGCGGTTTAGTCGATCGGATCACAAGTGGGCAACAATAAATACAGGTGCCAAAAAACGGAGTCTAAAACACTTTGAGCTTGACCACTTTCGACCACTTCTAGAGGTCCTTAACACGTAAACATTACGGGAACATCGTTAACCCTGTAGGATTTAAACTTTGTCAGCTGAAGCCCCAAGTTTGGTTTGAAGATGAAAAATGTACCACGCACAATGTTCTTTCACCATTCCTGATTTCTAACACGTACTTGCAGTAGTCGGCATGGTCTTGCAGCTATCAGAGGAGAAACAACAGCTTCTGCTCTCTGTGTTTTTATCCATCGTACATATGTAAATTCTGTCCATTACATCTAAAGATCTGAAAAAAACCTGTACATTTACCCACCCATAGACCCTCCCCTCAAAGAAACCAGGACAGAAGTGGTTGAAAGTGGACAAAAGAGATGGATTAAAACATCAGATGTAAAAAGGTATGTCTCCTTTGTCTAATTGTGACCAAAACGCATAATTTAATACCAGGTGTAAACAGGGCCTAAGTTTTATTAACGTTACTGTAGTATTAAGCATGGCAGGGTTCCAAGGAATGACGGCAGTAAAGGGCGAGAGAGGACCACCCAAGTCTGGGGCTTTTTACATTGCTGTTTTAATTATGCTTATATATGCCACAGTCGGCTGCTGGCACTCCTTTCGGTTTGTTGTTTATGTCTTTTCTTTTACAATTAAAGTTACATTTAACGTTTGCCAGGTCCCGCCTCCTTCCTCCCTGAATTTATAACTTATAATGAAAAAAATGCTGAATTATTACTCATACAGGTCACTTTATTTAATGAATTAAAATTGTGGGGTCAGAACAATCAAACTAAAAATACATTTAAGTAAGTTGAACGTTATGTTATATTGGTACTCGGTGGCTGGTGAGACACTTGTTGCACTTTAGATCGATATTAGAATATCGTATTAATAAAACCTTGTGTTGCTAAACGGCATCCAATTAATTTTAAAGTACATTGTATGATAGAGAAAATGTATTAATGTTACAACAAATATACAGTAGCTCTTTCTGATTATGCTATGTTAGCCAAGACAAAATTGTTGACTATTTGATGCATTGTACAAACATGTTACTTGTGGGAAATCAAGAAAACAAGAGATTCAAACAATAAGACTAACCGTGTTGAGCTATTTACTGTACCAATGGTTAGTTTTCTGTCGATAAAGGTATCCAAACAGTTGCTCACTTGTCAAATAAAACAATGAGAAGGGTCGTTACACTGGTTAAAATAGCTGATTTCTCCTGATTTAAACATTGTTGGTAACATTTGGGATAAAGTAAGTACACAAGTCAACAAAATATATAACACTGTGCTCGTGGTTTTCGGATATTTTAATATTGTGCAGTTTAACAGTTTAACGTTATAATTGATATCTTAGATGCGTATGTGGATGCATGCAAATAAAATGTTGAAAGAAATTGGTAAGAGAAAAATAATTGCTTTTTTACAATTACCTCTATAGCAATATTCTCCTCAGAAGGATTCACCAAAACAACAGTCTCCAGGACATCACTCTTGTATTGCAAAAGTCTCTGTCCTAAAAAAAAAAAAAAGAATGTTTAAAAAAATGTTTATTGACAATAGAATTTATTTTGAAGAATTTTGTATCTGATGTTGAGAAACATTAGAGACAAAGGTTGCACCCTACTGTAATGATGCAATGACTGCCTCCATGCATTTAATTACTGTTTACCATTCATTGTTTCTTCACAAATACACTAATCCTGTGAAAGCAGTCTTCTCAATTCCATGCAATCAAAACAATATTGCAAAGCTCCTGCAAGCAAATCTATTGGCTGTTGCCATGGGGATGGTGAGCTGGCTATTGCCGCCAGCTGCGTTACACTGACCCAGTCTTGGTGCTGCACGACGCATTGCAGCATTTCTGAAAAGGATGAAAAAATCCTCTCTCTAGCTGAAAATGTAAATCCATCGCATAGTTGAAACACACACACACACAATGTGACCCTGTGCATCATTAGGCTATAAACAGCACCTAGCTCTTGTTGGCTGTAAAAAACATCACTGCTTTAGATCTTTCTATAGGGTTTCTATAGGGTTATTTTCACAGCATTGAGATAGGAGCAAGGGCGTGTGGACTTAAATAGCACACTGACTGAGCTATGAGTCCTCACATACTCTCAGTACCTTGGAGGGGACATATCATGAAAAGCTAGATTTTTCCATCGTTTAAGTGTTATAAACGAGTCCCCGGTGTATCTACCAACCCAGGAAACGTGAAAAGTGACAACCCAGTAATTTTGTTTTGGTAAGCATTTCTCTGCAAACATTTAAAAAAAATAGGCCAATCAGATTTGGCCCCCCTTCTGACGTAGGAAGGGGATCTTATTATGATAATACCGGCCCATTAATCTGCAAGTTTCCACCCAAGGCACCACAATTTTGGTTTTTGCAAGCGATGACAATGTAACCACTTCTAACGCAATGGCAAAAGTTCGAGCAAAACATATAACGGCTCCTTACGGTTTTCTTCCGATTAAAAGATTCACGCTTCAAGTGATGTCTTAACATTTAATATCTTTTTTGCATAAGAAGTCTTGTGTCACGCCATCGTGACCTTATTTAAAGAAGACCACTTGAACATTGTGACACCCTTTGGGTATTGTTTGACATCTTTCAGCATATTTACATCAGGACAACGTGAAAAACTGAAACAAATAAAATTACATTTAGATGCATAGTGTGTGAGTGTATTTCTGTCAATATCACAGTTTCCAATTCCATAGCTTATTAAATCAACACACACAAAGCACATTAACTTGCAAATTAACAGACGAAATCCAAAAAATAAACAAACATGTCTTCTAATCAGAAATCCAGGGGACATTAAGAGATATTTGGAGACATTTTTTCCATAAAAATATTCTTTACGATCAGACACCTAAGTTTGTGTACAGGTTCTGATATTCCCACAGCTAGCTAAATCACATGACAAGTTATAGGTTAACACTACACTTTGTTCACCTGTAGGTGTCGCTATTACCAGCTTACTTCAATACTCAAATACAATTTCCGAATGAACATTCATAACACATCACACAACATTTGTAATAAACAAAATACCTTTTCACATATAAATAACTGACATATTTAGAAAGAAAATACACCTTTATCTGTGACAGCAACATGCAAACTGTACTGTCGTTGGCTGCACAGATGAGCACAGAACACTGTTTGACCCAAAAATGACTTATAAAGACCTCAGGGAACTGTGTCAACTTGTCCAAAAGTTAAACATGACGGTACATGCAAGTCCATGAGATGAATTAATGTAACTCATCAACGACAACATAACTATCCACTAACCATTCAGAAATGTCCAGGAGTCTAAAAGAGTTGCAAACTCTTCCCGAGTCTCTCTGTAAAAGGCTACACTCCCCTACTGTACTGGTTATTTCTGAGATTTTGATGAGATTTGCATGGAGCAGCAGCTCATTTGCATTTAAAGGGACACACACAAAACGTTTTTTGCTCGCACACACACACAAAAAAAATAGGCCAATCAGATTTGGCCCCCCTTCTGACGTAGGAAGGGGATCTTATTATGATAAAAATAAGGGGCACACACAAAAAGGGGCAAATTTGACAAGCTATAGACCAGGGGTGCCCAATCCTGCTCCTGGCGATCGACTGTCCTGCACAGTTCATCTCCAACCCTAATCAAACACACCTGAATGTGATCCTAAAGACCTTAATTGGCTACTTCAGGTGTGTTTGATTAGGGTTTGAGATGAACTGTGCAGGACAGTCAATCGCCAGGAGCAGGATTGGGCACCCCTGCTATAGACCATTTTGTAAGATGCAAACAACACTGGTTTCAGTTTGTAACTGTTTTCTTTATTTCACATGTAAAGAAAAACATCTTAAAGATGTTTATTTAACTTTTTGATTCAGTTTTATATGTTCTGTTGGTTGTATTTTATCCCAGCATTTATGTAGTGTTAAAAAACTGAAACAGGAAGTGCTTCTGGACCAGTGTTGTTTACATCTTGTGAAATGGTCTATAATAAGTGATGTGGAGGGTATTTTGAGCTGAAATTTCCCAGACACATTCAGGGGACACGATATAGATTTATTTTACATCTTGTGAAAAGGGGCATAATATGTAATTTGAGCTAGATGTGTCCAATAAAGTTAAGGAAGTAACATAAATAGAAACATTGTAGTAGAACAATGAAGCAAAAAAAAAACTTATATATAAATAAAACTTAAATATATATAAACACACACACACACACACACACATACATACATAGCCTATATGAACTACTTTGACTTTACCTCAAATTTCTAAAGAAAGATGCTAATTGGTTGTGCAAAAGACCAAGAACTATATTTATTGGTTGAGGAGAGGATAGTTTTAACCAATCTGGGGATGGGGTGGGACTAAGCATTAACAGTCATTTATGATTGGCTCAGAGGAAAAAAAACGCACGGGTTTCTTTGACGAATCAATGCTGATCAAAACTTGATGATGCAATCACATTCACTACGGAGCTTCTGAATGTCCAAACGCGATTAACCCGATATCACAGAAAAGCCTCCTCTTTATGGGACTTTTTAAAGCATACGTGTTGGAGCAGCGGTTCAAAAGTTATTTAACATTTAAGAACATGTCTTTAAGGGTTATGCAATTTTGAGCGTGGCATGGTTGTTGGTGCCAGACGGGCCGGTCTGAGTATTTCACAATCCGCACAGTTACTGGGATATTCACGCACAACCATTTCTAGGGTTTATAAAGAATGGTGTGAAAAGGCATCTGTTAACTGAAATAACCACTTGTTACAACCGAGGTATGCAGCAAAGCATTTGTGAAGCCACAACACGCACAACCTTGAGGCGGATGGGCTACAACAGCAGCAGACCCTACCGAGTACCACTCATCTCCATTACAAATAGGAAAAAGAGGCTACAATTTGCAAGAGCTCACAAAAATTGGACAGCTGAAGACTGGAAAAATGTTGCCTGGTCTGATGAGTCTTAATTTCTGTTGAGACATTCAGATGGTTGAGTCAGAATTTGGCGTAAACAGAATGAGAACATGGATCCATCATGCTTGTTACCACTGTGCAGGCTGGTGGTGGTGGTGTAATGGTGTGGGGCAGTGGTTCTCAAAGTGGGGTCCGCGGACCCCTGGTGGTCCGTGAGCTAAAGCCAGGGGGTCCGCGAAATAATTTATAACAACCTAACGTTTTTTCCATGCTATAAGTCATGTTTTCTTTATCATCTGAAAACATGCTATTTATTCCTAAGTAACTTATAATGCATTTAACATCAAAGTAGACACTTAAAGTTTTCTATAGATAGATAATCTATGTCTGTGCGTCAAGTAGACTATTCGCTGCTGTTGATTTTGCAGGACGTGCGCCAGAAAGGAGACAGATCGACGGCATGAACCCGCATCCGGTTGTTTTCTGTATTTTTAAAAGGCATGACATTTTGTAGTCATTTATAATGTAGCCTATACACAAATAAAAAATGGACACTTTACCGTTTCGGATGATGCACTCTTGTCTTATCTATGACCATAAATAAGAGTATTCCTGTTTCCACTGCTGAGGAAAAATTCCCACGTAATCGCGCGCCGGCGTCTCGCGTGCGCGCACAATAGTTAGTTCTAGCACTGCTAGATTTGAGAATAGAAGTCTGATCATTATCAAAATAAAAGTGCATAGGGACAAGGCCATAACCATTGAGGTTGCATGCACATCGCGATGATAACTGACCTTCTCGTCTGAGCTGCTTCAGCAGACTAACAACGACAGCTCAATGTCAAAATGTTTGAGTCGGAGTGAACTCAAAGTTCTCTGCACGACGCGAATCCCCGCACGACGTTTCTGTCAACGGTCATAAAGTGCGAGATAAGATGTAGGCCTAAATTAACATAAACTAAACAGCTGTTTTAGATAAAAGTTTTAAAAAACGACCGAAACAATAAGTTTGCAAAGTATTAACCGAGCTCAACTTTAACAAAGGAAAAAGCAGGTCAAGAGAACATACTGTGCCCATGAGATTAACATTATGGATTCATATATTTAACATACACTGTATGTTTTTTTTTTTTTAGCTAATTACAGTAGCTCAAATTAACAATGCACACACATATTAAACATAATGCCATTATCATTGTATTTATAGGCTTATGGGCTTTATGTGTGTGCAGAATAGGCCTAATCATTGAAACATTTCTCTTTTAAGTCCATTCCTGTTTGGTATATGTGATTGTGTTTCGTGACATCTTGACAAAAAAAAATGTATGCCACTGCCCACTGACATGCTTCTAAATCTATAGTTATCCAATTGTGGGGCCTTAAAACACCTTAAAATGCACATGTGTAGATCAAGAACATCAAAAATTCCTAAGTGAGGGATATCCTAAGTAGATTCCTAGCAAGATCACTTTTGGGACCTCAGTAGGCTATTTAGAAATTCCTGCCCTGGGTGGAGACCATTAATTTTGGGCAAAAATATTTCATTAGCCGCTCACACATTAACTTTGTGCTCAATAACGGTTAT